AGCTCCATGGCAGCTTTGATAGCCATAATCACAGTCAATTAAACAGAAGATAAAGTCACCTTGGTCTAACTACCTGGGTCCAAAACGTATTGCTGCTCCGACGTCCAAATTAAAGTTCCTTTTGGATCATTGTTCTTCCGCCCCAGATCAATCCGTGGATCAGTCTACGCGGAAGCTTCGAATCAACAGTGGCCTGCGTGTCTTCCAATCGACATCATGTTGCCCAAATTCTTGCAAAGCAGCTACATTCGCTATAAGGATGATACCAACAGCTTTGCAACCTGGCTCCTTAAGGCAGCCGGCAAATGTGGCTACCAACCCCAGGGCCTCGCTTCTGCCGCGCCCACCTCCAAAAATGGCAAAAGCAAGAGCAGAAATAAGGCGGCAAATGACTCAGATCCAGTCCAGTACACCATGACTGTTAAGGATCTTCAATTGCTGGCTGATGTTGTGGCCAAGTCTGCTCTCACTGTGCCTACACAAGTTCTCATCATCGTCAAAAGAGCGATCAAATTGAGGAAACATGTCACGTCTTGGTTTTTGGGGCAAGGCGACTCTGACAATAACAAGCGACACACTCATTTTATCTCCGCACTGGAAAAGGTCTGTGAGACCCTGGAATGGAAGATGAACAACTCTTCCAATCCGGATAGTAATCAACCTCCTCCAACCTCCGAATCCGGAGGTGGCGATGCCGACCTTGACATGTTCCTCAACAAATTTGCTGTACTTACCGTCGAGGAGCCACAAGAGACTCAAGAGGGACAGCAGAAATCCCCCGAATCGAAACAGGTTGTGAAGGTGGAGATTGTTGAGAATGACGAGGATGAGGACACGAGTTATTTCCGCCTCATATTCTTCAAAACATACTGCATGTTCCAAGATTTGAACAACATGCGGGCGTTTATCTCTCATACCTGGTCAGAGTACCGAGATAACAAGATCGATCTTATGAACGCTGCTATCGTGACTGACAGTGCGTTGCAACTTGCCCGAGATCTTGTGCAGGAGGTGGTGGATGACTGGAGCACATCCACCCCCTCTATCGATAACCTCCAGGAAATGGTCTTCAATGTCGCTTGTTTTACTCGGGGCATCGATGCGACCCCATCTATTGAAATCGGCCTACCATATAATAAACACATGTCCGATGTAGCCGAGTGGTGCTATTTGCCAACACGGATCTTACTGGAATCATTCCGAGACGTTCTGCAGGATAATCATCTTCCGGTCTTCAAGAAAGGCTTTTTCGGCACTTACGATCCCAAGGCTAACAGAGAGGGGATGTCTGTGGGCCAGAAATTCAACGAAGACAAAATCATTTTTGTCCAACTAATGCCAGAGTTCTGCATGATCGATAAGTTTGGTATTCGTATGCTTACCTCCGATGCGATTACTGCAGGTCTTGTTGAGTTTTGCAGGACCAAAAAGGCTACCCTGTGGCTTAGCTTCGCTGCACAGGTGCTCCTTGACGTTCATCACATCATGCGTTACAGCACTTTAGGTGCATTTGACGACCTTCGGATGTCTGGACTGCGTATCACAAAAACTATCGACGACTACTTCAAGGGTACCAAATCACACCCGCAGCCCCAATTCTGGCCCAAGGAGGGTGATGAAGAAATCAAAGATATACACTTCACTGTGGCTTCATGGATTATCCAGGACCCCTTCTTAGAACGGAAGCGTGTTTCGATCCCAGGCTATGATGCATCAGAAAAACATGTGCTTTTCTCTCAGCATGCCATCCTTTGTGGATTGAGCCTGTTTCATCTCAACACCCGGATGCAGTCTGTTGGCCAACAGCTTGTGACTCAATGGTATGATGTCCAGCAACTGGCTTTCTTGTACAATCTCGCAAACACTGATGGGCATATGAACTTGATTTGGCCTGATATGGAAGCGTTTATTAAGATTCACGGAGAGTCACATATATTCATTGGTTCTCGACCAAAGAACGCTAGCGAGTCTTTGAATAGGCTTGAATTGGCCACAGGCATATCGTCCGCCGCTAAGTTTGCCCGCGGTTCGCGCAAGAGACAAGACTTCCATCGCCCTGATGGAAAGAATCCCAGAGTGCTGACGCCAACAACTACGATCGCGAACTTGTTCCGGGCCCAGTATGTGTCTGGTTTTAGGGAAGAAGACGGCATTAGAACAATTGACAATGTTCTGGATACGCTTTCTCAGGAACCGTGTCTCAGGGAGACCAGCAAGGAGCTCCAGCCCTCCGATCTGCAAGTCATGTTCCAACAGAAGTGGTCCCATACCCGAAATATTGGCACCCTGCAACTTCTTACTCTTTTGAAGAGCAGGTTGTCCAAAGAAGAGCCTTTGCTCCTATTCAACTACTTCGGCATGCACAAGCGCTCCCTGGAGCTGCTGAGGCTGATCAGAGCAAAAGAACATCACAAGTTTGTCCAATATTTTACGACTGCGTACATGCCCGATGAATCTCTCATCTCAAACATTGTGATTCTGGTCCACCATGTTGCGCGAGGCTCGGCACAAAATGCGCGTGCATTGGGAATGTCTTCCATGGGCAATGGCAGTCAGATTTGCAGTCGAATTGTCATGAGCTGTGGTGAAGTCATGCGGGATTATCTTCGGAAGAATGGAGATGTGGCATGCAAAGAGCTAAGGGTTTTCTGCAAGAACAAAAAGCCAATACAGGATGAGATCGACTATGATAAGGGCAGGTCCGAAGAGTTTGGCTACTGGTTTGGTATTGAAGAGGCTTTAGACCCAAAGGTTCTCGCCTCGCTCATGACCGGGATCCCAATAGCTTAGCTGATGGCTCTGGTTAAGCTCTTCAACAATCGACGAATACAAGGGGGATTTTATGTATCAATTGCCCTTATTTATGTGATATTGATGCATTCTTATGTCTGACATATACTACTGGCAAAATATATTGAATCTATACGCTATGTACATTCTCAACGACCGACGTCTTCTCAACATTCAGTCCCGTCTTAGTCTCAACATGCTCCTTATTCAGCTTAGCTTTTAGAATAAAAGCCGAAAAGAAGACACCAACAGCAGACATGCACGTGTAAAGAATCCACATATTCCTCAGACTCCAAGCAAAAGCCTCCCTAACAGCAAGCAACTGCGTGGGATCAGTAATGAATTTAATCGACTCGATACTCGCAGCAGCCGAATCCCCAGACATCTGAGCCGCCATGCTGGTCGACATCCCGGAAGCCAACAAGCTGGACTGCTTCTGGCCCATACTGTTCTGGAAGACGACGCCGCCAATCACAATGGAGGCCGCGGTTGCCATATTGCGAATGAAGCCGATGGTTGCCGTAGCGGTTGCAGTGTCCTCCTGTGAGACCATGGCCTGGATGGCGATTATGGGCGTTTGGAAGAGGAATCCGGCACCAAGACCGCCGAGGATCTGGTACCCGACTATCTCGCCGACGGAGGATCCCACCCCGAGGTTGATGTACAGCCCGTTCCCGATGGTCATTAGTGCCAGGCCGATCCAGATTAGTTCTAGGTATCGACCTGTGCGGTGGATTATTGCGCCGGTAAACATGCCGGAGAATGCTTCCGTCACCACAAGCGGGAGAATGAGGACGCCGGAGCTCATTGGTGAGGAGCCGTGCACGGATTGTAGGTATAGGGGGATGTAGTATTCCCCGGCAATGAAGACCTGTAAGTCGTTAGTGGTTGAAACGACCAAGGGGATGCTATACTAACAAAGCCATGCGCAAATGCCACTAGCAAGGTGGCAATGTTAGAGAATCGGGTGAAGATATCCATGGGCATCAAGGGATACTTGGCTAGTTTCTTCTCGCTGTAGACAAACAGCAAGGAACACAAAGACCCAAAAACAATGAGACAGATCACCTGCGGTGATTTCCAGGCAAACGTCTCGCCGCCGAAGTCCAATCCTAATAGAAGCATGAGAGTAAGACCCAGCACAGAGAAACTACCGAACCAGTCAATGGCGCGGACGCCATCCATAATTTTCGTCTGGGGGTTGTGCACATCCAAGAAAAAGAAAAGGAGTACAAATGTCACCCCCGAGACCGGGAGATTGATCCAATAAGTCCATCTCCAAGTGACATACTGGCTGAAAGCACCTCCAAGCAACGGTCCAACCCCACCAGCAAAAGCCCACATGACCTCCATCAGGCCGAGATATAAACTGCGGTGTCTGTTACGAGTCAGTAAACACAGAGAAGCCAAAAGCAGGTAACCAAGATATCTTACCTGACACTGAACAAATCGGAAATAATAATCGTAACCAGCTGGAGCAAACCACCACCAGCAACGCCCTGCAGCGCTCGACCAGCGATCAACATCTCCATACTAGTAGCAGCAGCGCAAACAATCGAGCTGAGGAAAAACCACCCAACAGCCAAGAGCAAGATAGGTTTCCGCCCCCAGATATCAGAAAGCTTGGCCCAGATACACGCGCTGGCGGCGGAGCTGAGAAGGTATGCGCCGCCAATCCACGTATACCCAGCAGACGAGTGGAAGTACGCGGCGATTGTTGGGATCGCCGTGGCCATGATCGTTTGATCTAGCGCGGCGATAAACATCGATAGCTAGTGGGATTAGTAGGTGAATATGAGGATTTGGTTCCTATCTTACTGAAAGGGCTACCATAATAGCGGCAACTTGGACTTTGCTTCGCCCTTTGGGCGGAGCTTCCTGGATTTCTATTGATGCTGCCATTTCTGGGAGATCTGGAGTTGGAGATTTCAATTTTTGAAGTTGAAGACTTGAAAATATTTTTCGGATCGGTTTTGTGGGGCTCATCTGGTATGGATTCTTAGTCGGTTAGTATGGTAGATGATACTGATCTTGGATGGGGGTAAGATAGAGCGTTATAGGCCTGGTTTACATCAGAAAAGAGTTTGAATGAATAAAAAAGTTCCATTTGTGAAAGCGCCACCCACATATAGTCAGTATGTGCTAACTCAACGCCAACGAAGACGAAAAAAAGAGACCCCAGTAAACCAGTAGCAATTCGAAACGAAGTATTAGCCAACCCTCCTACCAACCGTAACTCCAAAGTTAACCAGCGCCGTCGCAGACTCACAATGAGCCTCAAACTCGCGAACCAGCCCATCAACAATCCCACGTGCCTGCTTAAGATCCTCAGCTTGACCGATAACAACCATAGAAGGTGGCGTCAGCGCACGCATCACACCCGCGACCCATTTCTGCGCGAAAGGCCGCATATGGTCTTTCCCAGCAGTAGTGTAGGTCTCGCGGACGACGTCGGTGAACCCATGCGCAGAGATCTGATCATACACGCACTGCGGCGCAAACGGCCATAGACCTAGTTTCAGCATGGCCTCGATCACGCATGACCGCAGTCGGGTTATTGCTGTTGGTTCGGGTACCGCGTCTGTGCAGAACGCTGTGTGGTCGACTTCTTCCCATTGGATCCAGCCGTTTGGTTCTGCGGTTGTTTTGTTAGTTGGGAGTCCAAGTTTGAGAGTAGTGGCTGTTTGTTTTTGTGGCGAGAGTAAGAGGTGAGGAAAGACATACTTAGTAAAGCGCGCGCGTTGGCGAGCACACGTGCGTAATCTGCTTGTTTCAAGCCTGCTGTGAGGAGTCGGATGTGTACGAGGTCATATCGGCCGCGGTGAGCTTCTGGGAACGGGCGCAGTGCGTCGTGGACGCTTAGTTTGATTGGCATCTGGCCAGGTCGTTGGATCTCGTGGCCCCGTGGGTATTGGGCTGAGGAGATGTCGAAGCCGTGGAGCTCGACTGACTTGTTCGGGAGGATATTGGCGACATCTTCGAGCCAGACGCTGTAGTGGGTTAGCTTGTGTGTGACAGTGGTTTTGGTTTCAGATCCTCAAATCAACATACCCAGTGCCAGTGCCAATGTCGGCTACTGCCGTCAGGTCTCTTGGAATAGACGGGTGAATGACGTTGGAGAGCTCCACGAGAAAGCGATGCTGGTCATTGAGACTATCAGGTGTTAGCAGGGAGATCGATAGATATTCCCAGGAAATATTTGAACATACCGTGTAGTCTCGGCCTCATCTCGATCTAGCAGGTAGACTGGCGAGACACTCCCCATATTGCCCAAGACTTTGAAAAGCCTGGACAAATTGGAGAGAAGTCTCTGGAACGAGGAAAACATTTTGGCCATTTTGGTAAGGTAGCCAACACGAATGAGTTTGATGTGAATGAGAAAGTGACTGACAGAGTCATCTTCCTCTTCTTATAGTCTTTTCTCTGATCATAAAATTCTCTGAATATTCAAATATCCAAATATCCAAACCTCAATCACCTCAATCTCCATATGCCAGCAAACAAAGAAAGTCATCTTGGATCTCCACATAAGAACCACGCGCTAGTTCACATCCCCGCGCCACGATCGAACGGATTGACCTATCCGATACTCTTCTTAGATCTTGAGTATTAGACGTTCATGCATGGAATCCCCTATTCGGCTTAGGCCGAGTTTCTTGCTGGCTAGTGACATGGATACATCAAACTCAGCCCAATATCCAGACAGCCTTAACTTTCCTGTTGGAGAGGGGCTTATACGAGACATCTGTACATGGTAGAATTGGGAAGTCGAAATGCAAAAGTCCCGGCGTCGCCGTGGTCGTCTACTCCGTAAAAAAGCCCCAAGGCGTTGTCTTTTGGCTTTATGGAGTCAAACGGAGTGTGGAATACAGACTGGTCATGAGTCTACAGACTATCGGTCTGGAGGAATTCAGATGTAATGAACGCCCAAAGAATGCCACATCCCCGGAATAGATACATATCAAATGTAATTTTAGACAGTTATTTTACAAAATGAGACCCCAAAAAAAGAGAGATAAGACACCATTGGCTCTCAAGACTTATCCACCAAATTAGCAAACACATACCGGAAAATCTCCCGGCTCTTATACAAATTCTCCACCCGCATGCGCTCGTTATCCAAGTGGGCGTTGTCACTCGCCTGCCCACAAGGCAAGTTAGCTGCCGGGGCCGAAAACTCCTTTTCCAGGAACCGGATGGTCGGAATCGACCCGCCCTCACGGATGAACATCGGTTTCACTTTGGCTGCGCCAGGCGCAACAGGCGGTGTTCTGGCAATCGGATCAGACTTGGGTCGGATTGGCAATGCAACTGACTCTTCACTCGATGCCGATGTGGCTTGTGTGAGGGTGGATGACGTTGGCACTGTGGAGGCCGTTTGCGAGGACCGTTTGCGCGCGGCTTCCTTGCCTGCTGATGAGGTCGTTGTCGATGTGATTACCCGCTCAACGTGCGAGGCTAGACTGTCGTCGGAGTCTTTCCGGCGGAGTTCAGGGATTGGGCCCGCGCTGGGTTTGGGCTTGCTCGCTGGGTGAATGTTTGGAGACTGTGCGATAGGTAGGTATTGGAGTTTCGGGTCCTCTTGGACCGGGGTCCACGCTGCGGTGATCGCCTCTGACAGCGTGGCGAAGATTTCGTTATCTGGGTCTCCGAGCCAGGCGTCGGATTTGCCAGTGATTTCGACTGTGAGGTCGTTTTGTGAGTCGAGCAGTGCGAATTGCTCTTGTGCATAGGCGGTGAGGTCGGCTGCGACTTCGTCGGCGTGCTGATCAGGTACGATACGGATCGATAGAGTTGCCTTGGCTCGGCGCGCGATGGTCGTTGCGCTCTTGCTTCCAGGAACTTCCACTGAGTGGACGGTCAAGGCGGGTTCGCGCCAGCGATGCGTCAAGGACTTGATCAGCGCCTGACTGTCGGGGATCTCTGGGTGCTGCACAAGCAATACATCGGAAATAGCCTCAAACCTCTTCTGCTCGGCGTCCGTGAGTGGCCTGACAGCATCGTGGAAGCCAGGCAGATTAATTTTGCCTTTGCGTCCGACAATCGTGGACAAAAGCATGGTAATATCTTTGACTGGTTCATCCAGCAATGTACTGCCGTCGATACCACTGTGAAGGTCAGGGTGGTCGCTAGTCACGACCAAATTGGCGTGCACGACTCCGCGCAGCCCATAAGTTAAGCACGGATTGTAGTCATCAAGCCAGTAACTGTTCGCTAGGAGAACCCAGTCTACAGATCCGATCTGAGCCTTGTGCTCGCGGACTGTTTCGTGGAAACCTTGGGATCCGGATTCTTCCTCGCCCTCAATGAGGAAAATGACGTTGCATCGCAAGGTCTTCGTCCGGGCGAGATCAGCCGCGGCATACAGTGATGCCAGAATAGGTCCCTTGTTATCAGAGACACCGCGGCCGTACAGAAACCCGTTAATGGAAGTGAGCTGATAAGGATCTGTCCGCCACTTGGGTCGGTTCGTCTCCGCACCCACAACGTCATAGTGGCCATAGAAGAGGATAGTCTTGTCCACCTTTTCAGGTGATGTAGCGTTGAATCTAGCATAAACAATGGGATTGGTGTCCTGGCCGGTAGGCAGGAGCTTGGTCTTCGCACCGAGGTAGTTGCAGTGTCGCCGAAGGAAAGCAGCACCCTGGTTGCATTCGCCAGCGAATTTGGGACTTGCTGAGATAGTCTTGAAAGAGACGAACTTTGCAAGGCTGTTGACCATTTCGTCTGGGTAAGATTTAGCGAGCGTTCGACGCGAATAGACTGTATGGGACGTACCGTTGCTGATCGGAGGAAGCTCTTCCTGGGTCGAGAAAAACTCAGTCAAATCCCAGATTCCTACTGAGTTGTCATTTCCACCAGTGGCGTAGAGCTGGCGATCTTTGAACCGTCCAACAGCCGAGGCGAGCATGGTGCCCTCGTGAGCGACCCAGCCACCGACCTCTTCGAACCGAGAGTTGAATTTCTAGCGGCGGTCAGCGGAAGTCGATTTGAAGGCGACAAAAATAGACCAGTACATACCTTGACCGTTCCACTAGAGTCACCACAAATAGCGATACCCTGGATCACGTGCACAGCCCACAGATCACCGGTATGTCTAGTGATCCGCTTAACGAGCTGCTGAGAGTCCAAATTCCAAATGTTAAGGGCGCCGCCCGCCAAGCCACAGTAGAGTAGTGATCCCTCAACAGCAACACTTAACACAGGATCTCCATTCTGTAGCTTGGCGATTTGGGACGGAGCCGCGCCAGGATCCTGACCCAAGCGCCACAACTTCACCACACCATCGCCCGCACCAGTCAAAAGAACCTCCTCGGAAGGAGCGGATTCAACCAGGCCTTTGACTAGAAGCATAGAGTAGACGTAGCCATGATGCGCGAATAGCTTATGATGATCCCGCTTGAAGCTCAACACATGACCACCGTCGGAGAGGGCACCATCCGATGATCCGGGAGCTCGAGTACCATCCGGTCCTCGGGAATCAAAGAAGCGATGCGTCCGTTTGGACGGATGGGCGGACGATGCTTGGTTCAATGTTAAACCTTCCTCGGAAAGATCACACCACTGTTTGGGTCAGAATGTCGCTAAATAGGGTACAGACACGGGTCAAGTACCTGGATACTGGTGTTCTGTGCACCGCAGTAAATAGTTTGGTTATCGGATGAATAGACTACTGAAAATATATCGCCCACATCGTGGTGTGAATAAATCGAGTAGAGACGCTCAAATGTTCGCGTGGACCACACCTATCCACGTCATTAATCCCGGCCCCGAGATTCTTCAATTGCATGACTCACATTGATCACGGAGTCGCCCCCACTTGAAAATAGTAAGTTCCCATCTTCGGAGAGATAAAGGCCTAGCACACTCTCTTTGTGTGCGTGGACGGATACCACGAGATCAAAGGTTTCCAGGGACCACGCCTAATGAAACGGTTAGGCTCAAGCCTTGGCGTAGCAAAACATAGACAGAAAAGAATCGAAACTAACGACAATATCTCCTCCTTGCAAGCCAGCAAAAACACAGTGTTCATCAAGAGCCAGAGCGAGAACGGAGCGACTGGCGAGCACGCGGTGACCGATGCCGCAGTCACTATTTGGCAGGGCACTGGCATCGGCATGAGTATGAGAATCAGACTCCCAGGTTTTCTGATCCTCCTCGGACGTGCTTTCTGATTCGACTAAGTCCATAATCAGTCCAATATGCTTTAATTGCAATGGTCTGCAACGGTCCAATGGTCTGTGATGGTCGTTGTGGAGAGTGAAGTGATGTTGGTGTTCTCGTTTTGTCTCCGCTGCAAATGAACCAAACAGAACACTGGAAATCTCCCTTCACTCCATTCTGCTTTCTTTTTGGTTTTCGAGGTTGAAGAGCTTCAGTATTTTTGGGGAAATGCAGGAATACAAAGAAATATAAAAGGAATATGAATCATCAAGGCGGTACGGCAAAAAAAAAGGAAATAATAGCAAGAAGATATTGCACCATCGATAAAGTATTTGACTCACCATCCCTAGCATCCCTTTGATTCCGACAACAAGTCCTTCTATAGAGAAAAGACATCAGTTGTCGAATCCATTCGCTTGAGCTCTATGCCACGGTCGCATGTCCATTGCGTGGGTTTGAATATTCTAGGAAGTCAGAACTATGAGACGCACCTTGGTTCCCACAATAGCCGTGCTAAGGGGGTACTGGGGCGACGGCTGATCATGATAGTGTATGTACGGAGTATGCGGTTCAAGATTCAGGATGGATTCGAGATAGATTTAGATCGAGTGGGTTTGCAGTATCAATGAAAATAGTCCATGAAAAGACAATGAAGTGCACACCGATGTTGATCTGCACTCCAATGGAATCTTGAAAGCTTTATTGATAAGGGAGAGATACCTACATGTACTCCGGACTTGCCAGCTGAGATCCTGCCCGAGACCTACTGGGCGCAACGCTCCAACCCCTGATGGCTTTCTTCTTCAGCCCTGGACTAGAAACACTAGCCTGCAGGTGCCCATCTATGATGAATGTGTCTAGGGTCATCTTACAAGAACCAGAAGAACCCCGGACAATGACTCGGAATGAAAGTGATACAACAGTAATGGCGCCATTATCGGTCTTGATATGGTCATTGCGGGAATATACCTCCCACAACTGCCCATCGGTACTCTATACTCCGTAGAGACACAATCTATATCCCTTGAGGAAAAAAAGGAGAGTCTCCGGGGTCATCTCACATGTTAAAGCCTCTCAGCACCGCCACACGAGGAGCTGACGTTGTCCGACACCAGCCACAGTGGCGGTGACCCATCCCAGCCAATCAGCGGTCACATGTCACCGCTCTTTGCACGTCTTCCTCCTCTGGCGCTATCTCACCAGCTGATCAACAGCCCATGCAGACTACACTACACCCCCCATGTACCTACGTCAAAAGAGTCTGGATTATTCCTTTTTCCTTTGCCCTTTCGCCGGAATCTAAATATAACAATGTGATCTCCCTTTCCCTGAAAATTCTCTTCCGGATCCCCGCACATGCAGCTATACCGCAAAGATCGACTTTGGCGCCCAACAGCGTTCGAGTGCGTGTGTTGTGAGCTCATCGACTTGGCTAGTCTCTGATACGTGTCGGTCTCCTCAAGTCTCATCCAATTATTCTTCCCTATAGCTCTGTAATCTGATCCTGTTTGTTGCTCTGCCCAACGTGGATGCGTTTGACCCCCCCAGCCTCCGTGTCCCGCATCACTTCTCCAAGGCCTTAGACCCTCGTTGTTACTCCGATCGGTCCTTTTGTGCTGATCAAGGCCTGAGGTTACCAACCCAACTGCTTTATTAACCGAGAGCTCTCCAGGGCTGTACCTTGCTTATTATCCTATACCCTGCTTAGCTCTTCGATACTTGATCTATACCCCGGACAATTCCTTTTGAAACAGTCTGTGTCCCCTTCACCGCTTCCTTATCGGCTGTCGATCTCGACCATCGGATGACTGATTTTCGGTAAGGTCGTCGCAACGACATACTCTCTGCTATGGCACCTTTTGGTCAAACGATCGCTGTGATTGACAAGACCGGCAAGGTTGTGAGCACGGTAAGTTCGATCTCCGGCGGAAATCCGAGCATTCTGACCAGGATTAGAGTAAGCAATTATTCGGTGTTTTCACCCATGCCAAAAACGCCTATCGGGAGCGCAAGTCTGCCTTCCAATCAGAACGCAATGCAAAAATTGCAGAGCAACAAGCACTCGAAGGACTCGCCAACTATCAGATCGATGATTCGGTAGCCTCTTCTGAACGAAACCATGGGACTCGGTCAAAGCATCACAGCGGCCACGGTCGAAGCTCTCATTACGGGCCATCGGCAGCAATGGCCCGCCGTCACACCTCTCACGATGTGTCGGTCCGAGGTGCCCCTCGTCCAACGGGTCGGTCAAAATCGGATGCGCATATCGACATGGATCTTGCATACGGAGACGCCTCTCATGCAGCCTTATCTCGATACAACCCCCCAGAGCCCAAAAACGACCAACAACAGCTTGATGTTCTTGTCAACCGTGCACAGTGGATTCTTGAAGAAGCACACTGTTTGCATCATGGTGCTGCCGCGACCATGGCCCATCTCCAGCAGAACCCAAAAGCCATGGCCGCCGTCGCCTTGACTCTAGCGGAGATCAGCAATCTGGCCCGCATGATGGCCCCCACCGCATTAGCCTCGCTCAAGTCAGCCGCGCCAGTCGTCTTCGCTCTTCTTTCCAGTCCTCAATTCCTCATCGCCGCCGGAGTCGGTCTGGGCGTAACGGTCGTCATGTTCGGAGGATACAAGATTATCCAAAGAATCGCAGCCGGTGCTATGGGAGAGTCCGGCAAAACGGAAGCAGAAATGGAAGAAATGATGGAGTTCAACACAGCCGAAATCAGTTCTGTTGAGACGTGGAGACGCGGTGTCGCTGACCAGCAAGTCTACAGCGCTGGAACATCTGTCGAAGGCGAGTTCATCACACCCGTGGCAGCGGCCATGTCGGGCATTGATGTGACGACTGCTCGGGCGACACGGGATCCTCGTTTCAAATTTGATGAAGATGCCTCGGTCGCTTCATCCCGTCGCTCCCGTCGTTCACGCACCACCCGCGCTCCGGATCGACGCGATCGAAGGTCAAAAGCTCCTTTGGAGGAACCGAGTGGGATCTTCGGGCGAAGCTCCTCCAAGTCCAAGGCGCCATCGAATGTCCCCAGCCGCACCTCATCTAAACACGGCACCTATGTCACCGAAACTGAGAAAAGGGAGAAGGAGAAAAAGAAAGCTCCTAGCCGGCTACGCCTTATGTTCACCTCTTCCACTTGACACCCAATCCTCTCCATTCGACAGAATCATAACATGTATATCCACCTGTCTACGCTCTTCCGATGTCATTTATGGGCGCAGATGCGTTTCATACGGCCCATTCAGTGCCTTTGATCCACTCAACTCTTACGACGACCCATGACATATGCGTCACTTCCTCCCATTCAATATTTCTTTTTGGATATGGTTGTCGCTCGCTTTCTATTTTTCTTCATCTTCATTTTCCTTCCCTTCTTCTCCTTCTTCTTCCTCTTCCTCTTCCTCTTCTTCCTCCAACTACTTTCAGCTATGCAGCCCCTTCACGCAAGCATATTTTGGTGTTCATTGGCGGCATCTGCTGTATTATACAAACACCAAAGAATCATTTAGATGAACTACATATCTTAAGAAAAAAAAGATTTTCTATCATACATATTCTGCTACGTGTTCTTCACTATTGATGTCTACCTCGGATATACATGTACAATCATCCCATCCATCAATTGCCAATTAACTGGTAGGCAAGTTCGTCTAATTGACCACAAGAGTGCCGAGCCTCTACATATAAAGTAAGAATAGAGATGTAGGTAGGCGCAGAACATGCTAATATATATAATAGTCCTGGGTTCATATGGTCTGAGGTAGATTGATAGTTAGCTTCCAGCTCTCATAAGTGATAGTTAGGGAGATCTTAGTCTTTATGAGGTAGATGGATTCTTGTCCCGTATTAGCAATGACCTACCTCAAGGAGACCTACTCCGATTAAGTTAGATCATGACTTCCAGCTCTAAGCTCGAGACAGAGAACGGTAGAATTCGATCCAGCTGTCTGTGATCGGGAGACCAAGCATCGAGCATAGAATATATACACTAATTCATCTACCATGGCGCCGAGGAACCTTTAACAATGCTAAGGCTAGGTAACTCTTTGATATTCTGAATACTAGTCATGGTGTTCTCAAAGAAAGCCGATGATCGACATCGTAAACCCCTTGGTGGATACTTGCACCCAAGCTCAGGGGCACAGCCCTCTATGCTATTTATGTTGTAGAGCTTTGAAGATAGACAATCTATACAGGGAACATCTACATTTGAAGAGATAGAGAGCGTCTAATCAGCAGGATAGTCATCGAACCCCAGTCATAATATCCAACGGCAATGCCCAATCCATATATCTGCTGTGAAGCCCACCAAGATGCATCATGCTACACCAAAACAGCCCTCGCAGGGATCGAAGTGAAACCCAGTCTCATTAAGGCCCCCCGTGGGAGAAATGATCTGACGTTAGCCGGCAGATGAACGGTTTCCAAACAGCCGGAGGTTTCAGCATAGAATATCCCCCATTGGCTAATTCCATGCTGACCCCTGTCTACTCCCGGGGAATTGGAGGTGCACGCCATAAAGCCGGAGATTATTACATAGTATGTATGACCATTTTTCCCATTTCTTATTTGGGATTGAGGCTGGTGGCGGTAAGAGAATGTATCAAATGCAGCATACTCCCTAGGATCTGCTTTAAACCCTCAAATATTCGACATTTATGCAATGCTGGGTGGCCCGGAGGGACCCGTTAGCCCCCACAGGAAGCCGCAAAGTACCCTCGCTTGGCCAAGGACCCAAATGCTATAAGGGAATGATGTCCCCTTTCTGATTCCTCCGATATGGGAGGGGCATGGAGTAGATAAGAGGGTGAGATGTGGATCAGTGCAGGCTCTAGAGCAGCTCGGGATCTGATAATTGTATGTTTGTTTTGTGAGATTTCGCCTCGTTCTTGAAATAGCGCAATCTTTTGAACAGACATACTGGAGGGGTAATTTCGTAGAGTACTTCAAGGCCTGGTTTGCCAGAAATCTAGTCATTTGATGTATTTATTCTCATCATACATTGCTCCAATCCTCCTATAACGGAAGTTTCAAGATGGAGATTCCAAGGGCAAATGTGCCTTTAGATGTGATTGTTGTCGGGTAAGATTTCCGTTGTGCATGGTTCAACATGCGAGATTGTCATGCTGATGTTTTGTAGTGCTGGTATTGTTTCTGAACGCCGAAGAGCTGCATTGGCTCGAGACAGGAGTTGTATTAACCATGATTGAATAGGCATCGGCGGTATGGCGGCAGCCCTCACATTAGGTCTTCGGGGGCACCATGTCATTGTCCTTGAAGCTGCACGGAAGGTATATGTCGACCGAAATTCATAGTATATCAAGCAAGGCTGACCAATCATGGCAGCTCATGGAAGTGGGCGCTGGGATTCAAGTATCGCCAAACATGCTGCGTTTATTCGACCGTGAGTCTGCCTTCTGCCAGAAAAATATCCATGCTAAACCGGTACAGGGTGGGGAGTCTCGGACTTGATTCACGCCCAAGACGTAGCCCTAGAGCACATCCACGTCCGAAGATGGGATAACGGTAAACTCCTCGACAAGGTGCCGGTGAATAAGACTTTCGGGCAGCAAGTCGTTATTCACCGCGCCGACCTGCACAACGCTATCATCGACAGGGCCCTAGCGTTGCCCAACATTGAGCTGCGTGAGAACTCACCCGTCACAGACGTACAGTTCTACCCAGCAAGTGTTAGCCTAGCCAACGGCGAAATCATTCGTGGCGACGTGGTAATCGGCGCAGATGGAATCAAGTCCACGATCCGTAGCCACCTGCTCGAAGACTCGACTATTAAAGCAGTTGCGACTGGCGATGCGGCATACCGTATCATGATATCCCGGCACATTATGGAGAAGGATCCTGAACTGAAGAAGCTCATTGACGAGCCGCAGGTGACTCGTTGGCTTGGTCCTTCGCGCCATATTGTCGCGTACCCTGTCCGCAAGCACGAGCTGTACAATGTTGTCCTCCTTCACCCCGATAGCCATGGTGTCGAGGAGTCTTGGACCACGAAGGGTTCCAAGCAGGCTATGGTTGACAACTATCATGGGTGGGATAACACGGTGCGGAAACTGATTGATCTGGTCGATGATAATGAAGTTTTGGAGTGGAAGTTGTGTCTGTACCGTCCTCTGAGAACATGGATCCGGGGATCTGTCGCTCTAATCGGTGATGCGTGTCATCCCATGCTGTATGTGCTCCTGAGATTTGGCTGTTGGTTTCAAGACTAATCTCGCCTTAGTCCGTATATTGCCCAAGGTGCTGCCCAGGCCGTGGAAGACGCGGCCGCGCTCGGTGTAATATTGTCGGCTATTTCATCACGCGAGGAGATTCCGCATGCATTGAGTGCTTATGAAAGGTCCCGGAAAACGCGCGCTGAGACAGTGCAGCACTCTGGATCGAAGAATCGAATTACGTTACATTTGCCGGATGGGCCTGAGCAAATGGCTCGAGACGCGCTGTTCAAGGCTTCGGACAGCGGAAGTAACCCCGATAAGTGGTCGGATCGTAGGACACAAGAGTTTCTTTGGGGTTGGGATGCAGAGAAGGCGGCGTTGGATACTTGGAATGGTATGTTCCGTTATTTCCTGGTCATGTCATGTGCTAACTTGCGGACAGAAGATCGAGGACAGACCAGGCTCAATGCGAATCTGTAGATTTTGCCGACACGATACATCACCTGCTCATAATCGGTTGTGGTAACCATAAAGGGACTCGAATTAGAGTAGATATACTTAGAGATAGAAATATTCACTTCATTAGACGCATGAGTGAGCTCGTTCAATTCATACAAGACATTGCATTTTTGCTACCAATTCCCTAAGTGTTAATATTTTCTAGTTCATTATACAGTCATTCGAGCCCAAGACCATCCATCAGACATCGGTGGAACATTGGACAGGTAGACTTGACATGTTGGCCCGAGGAAGCCAGGGACGGTCAACATTTGGCATTCCAATCGTTCAAAATTGAACAATTTACAACCTCTCGCCAGCGGCGGCCTTCATCTGACCGTACTTCTTGAGACGAATGGCAGACACATTGATGAAGCCAGTGGTCTCGGCGGGGGAGAAGTCACCGATCTCATCCATGGAAGACTCGCTCATGTCGTAGAGCTTCTCTGTCTCGGAGGAGCGACCGAGAATGGAAACGGTGCCCTTGTAGGCACGGCAGCGGACCTGGCCGTTGACGGACTTCTGGGAAGCGGTGATAGAGACCTCGAGGAACTCGCGCTCGGGGGAGAAGTACATGCCGTTGTACAAGAGCTGAATATGTTAGATGAGAAAATAGAATCATGGAAAGCTCGTGCTTACCTTGGAGTAGTTGTAGGTGACGAAAGTATCGCGCAGAGCACGGACCTCACGGTCCATAACAAGACCCTCAAGGTCACTAGACGCAAGTTAGTTGTGCCATAAGAAATTTCGCAATACAATACTCACAGGTGGGCAGAGCGCAGGCAGGTAAGACCGGGGGTCTCGTAGCAGCCGCGGGACTTGATACCGATGAAACGGTTCTCGACGATATCAATACGACCAACACCGTTGCGGCGGGCAATGGCGTTGGCGGTGAGGAAGAGCTCGACAGAGTCGGTAGCAACCTTCTTCTTGCCACCCTCAGTGTACTCGAGCTTGACGGGGACACCCTTCTCGAAGTAGACAGTGAAATCTTCGGGCTGATCGGGGGCGGTCAGGGGGTCCTGGGTCAGCTTCCACATATCGGCGGGAGGAGTGGTATCGGGGTCCTCCAGAATACCGGCCTCGTAAGAGCAGTGCGCAAGGTTCTCATCCATAGACCAGGGCTTAGACTTAGTGGAGGTGACGGGAATACCCTTCTCCTCGGCGTAGTCGAGCAAATCCTGGCGGCCCTTGAAGCGCTCGTAGAAGACGGGGTCGCGCCATGGGGCAATGACCTTGATGTTAGGCTGGAGGGCGTAGAAGGCAAGTTCGAAGCGAACCTGGTCGTTACCCTTACCAGTGCAGCCATGGGAGACAGCGAAGCAGCCCTCGCGCTAGGTTTGGGTCAGTATGACATCTTTCTGCCAGCAGCGAAGTAAAGCGTACCTGTGCGACCTCAATCTGGGCACGAGCAATGACGGGACGAGCCAGGGAGGTACCGAGGAGGTAGACGTTCTCGTAGACGGCGTTGCAAGCAATGGCGGGGAAGCAAAGCTCCTCGATGAACTCGCGGCGGATATCAGCAATCTCGCACTTGAGGGCACCAATCTTCAGGGCCTTCTCGCGAGCAGCCTCAAAGTCCTCTGCAAAGGGTTATTAGACCGGGGTTGGATGATAGGTCGACGGAATTGAATTTACCTTCCTGGCCGACATCGGCCACTATGTTCATATTAGTAGTTGATCTTGATTGACATGGCATTGAATCGACTTACTGAAACAGACGACCTCATAGCCCTCTTCGATGAGGTACTTCACTGAAATTCGGTATTAGTATCCTCAATTGGTTAATGGGTTGACCGATGTTCATACAGATGCAGCTGGTATCGAGACCGCCGGAGTAGGCGAGGCAAACCTGTGTCGAACTGTCAGAAAGTGTGGATCGGGTGGCGGTGTAAGATAGCATGGGGACTTGGGGATCTGATAAGGGAGCGAAAGCAATAGTTCATACCTTTCCCTGTGCCATTGTGAGGAATTGAATCAAATTCAAGAAGACTTAAGACGTGGAGTATAAAACAAAGGAAGATTGAGTCATTGGAAAAAATGTCAATTTTGGTGCGGGCCGGGGAAGTCACGGGTCCGAGATGATAACCCTGATAAGATAGATCGTTGCCCCTCCAATCTTCGTCCAACTCAAATTCGAGATAACTGCTCCAGGGCTAGAACAGGCTTATAAGTGATGGCTTTCAGACCTTCCAAAAAGAGATATAAGCTTTGAAACTCATTATGAATAGTCAATTCCAGGATTCATTCTGTTTCCAATGGAAAAGACGAGCAAAGATGTATGTTTCCTTTCAAGATACCATCGCAGATTATCTTGAGTCCGATCCATTGGAAGGCAGTGCATAACTAGCGTATAGCTCCGTCATTCTATATTCTATGTTTTACATTCGATATTCATATTTGCATGATACTGTCCTTTATCAGGGATACTATGCTGTATGTTGACTTCGTCATAGGTCCGGTCTGACTTGTGTGACTGGTTTGCCCTGTTTGCATCATCTCGGCTATCCGCGGCGGTTTCCCCGCGCAATGCCCCGGACAATGAACAAGGAGCAATTTAAAGGCAATCATCCCTACAAAAAAAAAATATTATGTATTTCCATTCTGTTCACATCCCACAATTCTAGCCAAAGATGGCTTCTTTACGAACTCCTTTGCGGTCTTTCGCTCAAGCTCCTCGCCGGTTCTACTCTGGAGCTCCTACTCCGGCAGCGAAGCTAAACCTACCTATTGACTACAAAACCACTCCGATTTTACACCACACCTCAGCCTCCTTGTCAAATACATCAGAGTACCCGGCAGCTGCCACGAGTAAACGACTCAATCTCTACCAAGCAATCAACTCAGCATTGCGGACCGCATTGTCCAAATCCGATCGAACTATTGTGTTTGGCGAGGATGTTGGGTTTGGAGGCGTTTTCCGATGCTCGATGGATCTTCAAACAGAATTTGGATCGGATCGGGTCTTCAACACCCCCTTGACCGAACAAGGCATTGCGGGTTTTGCAATTGGGGCAGCAGCGGAAGGGATGAAGCCTATAGCTGAGATCCAATTCGCCGACTACGTGTTTCCAGCGTTTGATCAGATTGTGAATGAGGCGGCCAAGTTTCGCTATCGAGAGGGTGGGACGGGCATTAATGTTGGGGGTCTCGTCATCCGCATGCCGTGTGGCGCGGTTGGACACGGTGCTCTGTACGTTACGTGGAGTGCCAAGCAAAGCGGTATGCTAATCAACTGATCGAATAGATACCACACTCAATCCCCAGAGTCGCTCTTCGCACATATTCCCGGTTTGCGAGTAGTCATGCCACGCTCCCCTGCTCAAGCAAAGGGGCTACTTCTGTCTTCTATCTTCGAGCACAATGATCCGGTGATCTTCCTGGAGCCCAAGATCCTCTATCGTGCCGCTGTGGAATATGTCCCGAATGAATACTACACCATCCCGCTAAGTAAGGCCGAAGTCATCAAGCCTGGCAAGGACTTGACCGTCATCTCATATGGACAGCCTCTTTACCTGTGCTCTTCTGCTATCTCCGCCATTGAAAAGGCTATGCCGGGTGTTAATGTGGAACTTATTGATCTGCGAACTATATATCCCTGGGATAGACAGACTGTTATCGAAAGTGTCAAAAAGACCGGTCGAGCCATTGTCGTGCATGAGAGTATGATCAACTACGGCGTGGGTGCAGAGGTTGCCTCGACGATACAGGAGAGTGCATTCTTACGTCTTGAAGCCCCTGTCAAGCGAGTTGCTGGCTGGAGCACACATACTGGGCTGAGTTACGAGCAATTCATTCTGCCCGATGTTACAAGTGAGTGCCCAACGCCCTTCATTTCGTCCTATCATCACTAACCCATAGTATTCTTTGTAGGAATCTACGACGCAATTAAACAAATACTTGAATATTAAACTGGGATGCCTCCTAGGAGATTATAATGATACGAAAGCCATTTTTACCTGAGAACATCATCCACTTGCATTTCAATGATTGTGACCAGGTCCAGGGAATTCTATCAAGCAAAATAACAATGCCAAGGTGAACTTTGCTTACTCGCAATAGTCTGTCTTGTTCTCAATGGCTTCACAGGAAATATTAAATACTGTTTCTAGTTGCCAGAATTGACACGGTACTACAATATGTTGTTAACTATGTACATCTCATTATTTTCAAGGTCTCTCGAAACCATTTATATTATATCTCTTCTTTCAAGTATATGGGTGTTTGCATTGTCTTCCCTTTCTGGCTGTTCCCTCGTTCTCACGTGTCCATGTGCCACTTTTCACCGTCGAGCGCCTTCTTTCCCATCTTCCCAAGCTCTTTACCTTCTTCACTTAACCCCATTCAACTTAAATCTATGTCTGGCTCCTATATCTTGTTCCCTCACTTGTTTCACGATGGCGATACAATTGATGATGTGACTCTTGCTCTTTTGCAATGGCGATCAGCGCTTCGACAGCAAATGAGAACCAACAGGACGTTCTAGCGGCCACGAAGATATCGACACAACGTTAGGAATTAGGTATCTTGCGGGAGTGCACTACTTGTTCGGAAAGTTATCCTGAGCCGGACACGATTCGGAATAGCTGCCCACACGTTTACTGCCGAGGGTGTGTCATCCGCCTTCTCCAAAACGCTCTGGCTGATGAAAGCTTGTCTCCTCCTCGTTGCTGCCGTTCTCCTTTGCCGTTGGAAGCTGCGCGTGGCTTCATCGACGATGGACTGTGGGAGGGATTTGAAGCTGGATGCCTGGTTTCATTCTCAAATGCTGGAATTGTGGACTCCAAGCATGCAATTTCTGCCGATCGAACAGGCTCTAATTGACAGCCCCCTTTTCTCAACCTACTTTGATGCACAGGGTCAGTCTCCCCTTCCCCCCGGGTCAACGCCTATTCTCACTCAAAGCAATTACAGGGAATTGGATCTCCGAACCACCAATACCAAAAACCTCACTCGAGGACTTTGTCACAACAATCCCACCGGGGGAGGAGAAATATCAGTTTTTACGTTTTATACGGAAAATTCTGACCTGGGACCAGGAAGTGAGAGCCACCGCGAACGAAATTATACCGGACGAATGGCTTATGAGGCTGCTTTGAGGGGACGCTCTAGGGAGACCCTCGGGTGTATTCGGTGGGCATAATATCCCTAGTTTTCAGCATTCTCTGTTAATGGATTCTACAATATATCTCTTTAATAACTATAAAAATAATACTACGGTAACCTCCAATTTGCAATATCTACAGGGTTACCAAAAAGCTAATTGAGAACTGTGGCCAGTGGTAGACATACATAAAGTAGTTAGCAACCTCGGTGACCGTGTTGTTTTTAACAATACAACCAGTTTGTGATATTCTAGTCTTGAAAGAACATATAGTCATGTATGCCGGAATATGAGTAAAAACACGGAAACGCGATATAAAGGCCCAAGAACAGCCCTTTCAGCCCTGAGCATTATACGCGCAATAATCGAAATTATTCGCACGATTACCTGCCCACGTCGGGAAAGCAACCGAGTTGCCAGAACCACCAAAAACCGCAAATGTAGCCAGGAACACCATGACTTGGGTGCCACCGTCCAGCGCAGCAGACAGGAGGTAATTCCACTTCACAAACCACTGCGGTCGGTAACGGCGCAGATAGAACTGACCGAACGCGCCGAGGATGTAGTAGCTAGTGAGAGAAGCGTTCAGACCAACGAAGAGTTCTCCAAGGTACCACAGGATAATGGCCGAGTTGAGGTATGACCAGATTCGCTGGTGCGGGAAGAGACGGTGCATGATGTAGAAGGGCAATGGGGCGATGAAGCCGACTAGGAAAGCTGCTGTGACCCATTCGTAGCGCGCGCCGATGGAGAACATCTTGGGTGCGATGGACCATGCAATGGCGAGAGTGTTGAACTGCTGGATTTGGGCGCCGGACCAGATGTTTGTTCCTTCGGCGGTTTCGAGGATGGTTGCTTGGTTTTGGACGATGCTGGAGAGGAGTTAGACTGGATGGGAATCTTATACCGGGGTAGGTAAGGGATGGGACTTACGTTATCATCATCACATAGTTGAGAAGGGCGCCCATGACACAGCCGATGACTTGTGTGACGAACGTCGCTTTCGGTGACAGTTTGTTTTGTTGGGCGAGTTTCAGATCACGGAGAAGCAGCCACCCTTGCGAGAGACCGTTGTAGGTGTATGTGGTGAAGTACATATTAGCTGGAGAGTTGTCAGTGGAATGATCTCAAAAGCAGTCAAAGTAGTGGAGTGTATACCTAAAGGACGTCCGGGCATCATGTAACCAGCAATCATTTGGAAAATCGGCTGCAAGTTGTATCCGAAGCCCGTAATGGCATACTGCGCCCCGAAGAAGACCATAAAGGTGACGAGGAAGATGGTCGCGACAATAAAGCCCCACCACGGAAGGGTGGACTTCATCACGTATAAGCATATCAGACCAGTGACCCAGCTGGCAACGAACACTAAGAAATACCAACTGCTGGGGACTTCATCGTAGTCAAGCATCAGCTTATAATGAGGGTCAATTAAAGGGTCCCGACGAATTTGTTCCTTCTCCTCCTCGGTTCGGACACCAGTGTGCTGCCAAAACTTATAAAAGGAAGGATCCAAAATCTTCTTCAAGTTGCTCCATGTCATCCAAGCCCATCCAAGGCTGACTTCAGCGTAGTTCCAGAGCAACATGTGAACAATAGTGGCCGTGAGCCCAGCGTTGGATGTGATGAGATAGTTCACGTACGTGGCGGTAAGGTAAGGAGCTCCAGCCTGATCCACCAGGGTGCTGTTCACGGTGAAGTCTGCGTTCATGATTGCAGTCTCGTTGTATGGGACAGCAGTGGTCGTGTTTGAGCTCTGATCGTAGAGAAGCTGAGACATGAAAGGGAAATCCTTGGCTCTCCAGATATTTCCGTAGTAAAGTGCCATGGAGAGGATGATACCCCCGATATAACCAATGAAACTGTTGGCCAAAGTTTGAAGCGGCATCCAAAGTGGGGATCCGAAACCGGCGATATAATTCCAGTCAAAGCAGACGGACAGGAATCCCATGCCCTCATTACCCTGGGAGCCTCCGAACAGATTTGTGAAGATCAGATTGTGTTGGTCGGCCAAGCAGAAAATGGAAACCGCGGACAAAAGTGGGAAGATGTACTAGATATTGTCAGAGCCTGTAAGGTAGATCGATGTGGTTGAGCAAACGTACCTCGGGGAACCATTCCCAGCAAAAGATAGCCGCGAATACGATCCAGAATACCTTGAATCTCTGCTTGGTCTCCGCTTTGGGCTTGTGCAAGGTCTCCATGACAGTCGTGATGGGTAGGTTGATGGGATACAGCATTGAGGTGGGGTGTACCAAAACATTGCGCATCATGCCTGCAACGCCATACCCAATGAGCTGCGAAGAAAGCGTAATGAAGATTCCCGCAGCTACATTAGGATATCCTCCATAATAGAGCTTTTGCACAGCCAAAGCTTCCGTAGACAAGGCCGAGACAGCTGCCGCCGAGGACATGAGGACTGCTGCGGTGTGTTCCTTCCGGTTCCACGGGAAAGGGTTGAGAAAACGGCCGATGACACCCCGTCGTGGGATAAAGGTAGACATAGCCGTACCCAGAGTTTGAGCAAGGACAGTCAAGAACATGACCGAGACGTAAACAACCTGGGGCTTGAAGTACATGATCTCTTGCAGGACCGCTCCGAACGCGGACAATCCGAGACCTGATTCGAGTCAGCGACATGCTAGATTACCACAGAGGACACAATGAAAAGGCTCACCAATGAAGAACATGCGGAACGTCCATGGATTGAGTGTTGGGTCATCGTCAACATGAATGACCTGAGTGACGATCTCCTCCGCAGTTTGAAGGGGAGCTGCAGTCCCCTTCGAGAGAGCTTCGGCGTCGTCATAAATCGGAAGAGGCACTTCGTGAATAGAAGGGACCTGGTCCTTTTCCCCGCCCTTTTCCCCAAACTTTTCGCTGTTCACCTCCGCAGAGGGTACGCGCTCAACCAGGGTGTCTGTTTTGGTTGGCGTCGTCGCCATGTCGAATAACAAATGATGTGATGTCTCAGGAGGCAGGACTCAGAAGTGAGAGATGTTCAAAAGGTCAAGAAATTGCCAGGTCGGGTCTGCTGATATATCATCGATAAGAGGAACGCAAGAAGTGGCATTCCCCTCCCCTCCCCCTGGACTGCTAGCGCTCGAGCCCAAGGTTCAAGAAACCCAGCACGATAAGGACTAATCCCAGCCTGTGATCGAACGTAACAACCACTTGTCCTAGAACAGAAGGTGGCCACAGGCCTTAGATTGGCGCGCCCACCTGGATTCGGTATTACCGACGGGGCGCCGTCGAGCAGGATTCCAATGCACGAACCAGATACACCGCTGCGACGATAAAGATGCAGGTCTCACCTCGTAGTGGCGTGCCATCCATCCCTTGTATTGGATAAGGAATAAGTCACTAAAACGCTTATACGTAATGTGGATGCCACGCTAAGCTATCTCCAATCCCACCCCCGGACGCATTGTACAATCCGAGACGCTTCTCCGACGGAGTCCGCGCGCTGTCCCGAACTCGACCAAAGGGGCTATCTGAGTTTCGTCGCCATAACCCGCTCAGGAACAGGCGAGTGTTGTAATATGTTGTAGAGAAATAAACTAGGGAAGGGCCATTGTTTCAATTGACAAAGAGTCAAAAACATTGGTGTTATTACTGGTATACCGAAGTTATACCAGTCTGGACGGTCAGGCTAAGCTTTTTCCCGTATAAATGCTATTTCGCTTAAGCTAATCCAAGCCTTCGCAAGCTTTTCCCCAAGCTTTCTCGCTCAAAGTGGAACTTCAAGTCCGTGGAGGGGCCATGTTACATTTGGTGGCGGAGATATCTTAATTATGAGGTCTAATCCTGTCGCCATTCACCCGATGTATCATTTCATTTCATATCACTCCAATCAGACCGGACAAATCAATCAAGATGTTGTTAGCCGTCGGGTGACTTACTCTTTTAAGACTGAACTTGAAGACGGGAATCTTCGAATTCGGTCTTACCTCAGGCTCTTACGAGTTGATTCCCAAGTGATAAATGTGCAATCAAGTCGCACCAGGTGCTGACTAACATGACACGTGATTGACTGGCCCTCCCTCACCTCTTGAGAAAACAATGCGCTCCTTGTCCGACAGCAATTGTCCTGGTGAGGACGACCTAACCGCAGCGATGGATTTGACTCAACAATTTCAGCCTCAACACACGCATAAATGAGAATCATTGCTGCCACTTGAAAATTACGAGAGATGGAATCTGCTTTGACTGAGCAGCTCACTGAGTCCTGCGCCCGGACTACTCAGTGAGCCTTCCTCTGAACGCCCCCATTAAAGCCAAGACACAATCCGGGGGAGGAAAACTATAACTATCGAGCGCGGAATACTGCGAGCGAGATTTATCATCAAGTTGAACCATTTCAGGTATTCTGAGATGGATGATTAATCTCACCATGCACGATTTGAAATCAATCTGACACCCATACCTACCATTAGGTATCGTAAGATTCCGCGATCACCCAACATCTATAAATATTGCGAATATCAAACGCCATAACGCCTCCACCTGGGAGCTTCTTGACATCCAACATTTACATTCTGTTCATAGCTCTAAATATCATATTCAACCCAATAATTACTCCATTCATATCTAAACATCAACATGGCAAACATCAAGGTTGCTCTTGCCGGAGTATGTCAGCAAACGACCCTCATACCATCCCATTCTCTAACATGATCCAGGCCAGCGGAAACCTCGGTCCCGCCGTACTCAAGGAACTGCTCGCCGCAGGCTTTGACGTGACAGTCCTCACCCGACAAGGCAGCGATAAAACCTTCGATTCCCGCGCGCACGTCGCACAAGTGGACTACGAGTCCCTCGACTCCCTCAAGGCCGCTCTGTCTGGACAAGAAGCCGTAGTCAGCACTCTACATGTCGGCGCAGTTCCGATATCCACTCATCTGCGCTTGATTGATGTAGCAGTAGCAGCTGGTGTCAAGCGGTTCATCCCGTCGGAATACGGCTGCGACACCACGAACCCCCTCACGTCCAAATTGCCTGTCTACGGCGATAAGGTCGTCATCCAGGAACATCTCAAGAATGTCGCTAAGGAATCTGGCCTCAGCTACTCGTTCCTCATTACTGGTCTTTTCCTTGACTGGGGTCTTGAGAAGGGTCTTATAGTCAATTTTGCTGGCCCGGCGACGCTGTATGATGGCGGTGATCGCCGTTTTAGTGCGACGACTCTCGCTGGTATTGGCAAGGGAGTTGTTGGGATCATCAACAACCTTGACGCTACTAAGAACTCCACGGTCTATATCAATGAGGCTAGGGTCACGCAGAATGAGCTCCTGGAATTGTCTGGAAAGAGCCTTGAGACGAAGGTTGTTCAGACTGCAGATCTGGAACAGCAGGCTTTTGCGGAACTGGCTAAACCGGCCCCCAACCGGACAATCTTTGCTACGAATTTGATTCTGCGGGCTGTCTTTGGTGAAGGATACGGCGGTCTTTTCGACCCTGAGAAGGTCTCGAATGAGTTGTTTGGTCTGAAGATTTTGTCCAAGGAGGAACTCCGCGGCCTGATCCCCAAGTAATCGTTCTTTTCGATAATAGTCTCAGATGTTCCGTTGTATACGTCGAGTGCGTATATCAATCCAATTAATCAATCAATCTTATTCCTCTTCCGTACCTTATTTAGACAGGGTACCAATCACCTAAATATGTGCACCGCGTAATAATATATTCAAACTCGAGTCAAAGAAATAAACACGAAGCCAATATAGACAAAGTAAACAAAGCCAATAATTCACAGTAAAGTATCAAGCCCACTTATTGAGCCGAACACTGTCCACCGACCACACAGAGAACAGGCAGATCAGCAACACTATTCCCAACCCAGAGCTTAATGCCGCGTCCATTGACAGGAGCCTTCCAATCCTGCACCACAACATCCCAAACACTAACGTCCTTCCGGGTAATATCCAGCGTAACCGTCTCACTCTGACCAGGCGCAAGCTCCCTTGTCTTTTCAAACTGCCGGAGCTGCAAGGCCGGCGTCTCCAGTCCCAGACTAGACGGAAGCTCAACATACAGCTGGGCGACCGCCTTACCGGTTCGCTTACCCGTATTCTGGACCTCCAACTGGACCGTAAATACAGTCTCGAAGAGAGCGGGATTCCCCCCCTCGCCACCCCCGGCCCGGGGGACTGCATGCGGCTCGGTGCTGTAGCCGTCCGGGTAGGGGTATGTATTCGTGGCAGTGATCGACTGCGGGTTGGAAAGGTAGGGGTAAAGGTAGCGCCAGATGCGGGTGAAGCTGGTAGACGACCAGGCGACTTCTGACGCGTCCGGAATGCTGGTGTTGTAGGACAGGGTTGGCGGCTTTGTGGGTCGTGGAGCTGGGTAAGCTGAGTCTAGCGGGGTTTTTGTTGACAGCGAAGGCTGGGAAAAGTTGAAGGTGGTGTAAGAGAGACCGTGGCCGAATGCGTACCGAGGTGTGATATTGGCTTTAATGAAGTGGCGGTAGTCGATGTATAGCCCCTCGGTATAGGTATCTTGGATCTGGCCGAATGGTTGACTGATCAATCCCACGCTATCCGGGTAATTATCTTCGCTGCGAGGAATGGTGTATGGCATGTGGCCGCTTGGACTATAGTCGCCAAATAGGATATCGGTAAGGGAGTTGCCAGCTTCTTGTCCAGGGAGATGTGCCACGATCACTGCTTTCACGGACTTGAGTTCAATCCACTCTTCCATCAGGATGGGACCGACGGTGTGAACAATCACGACTACATTGGAAAACTTCTCTGCTGCTGCTTTGACGAGATCGTCGCCATCGTGCCAAGCTTTGAGTCCAGCTTCGGTTCGATCTCCCGGGTTCCCTTCGACTGTGATATAGTTTTCGCCTGAATCGGCACTGATGAAGACGAGAGCGATATCGTTGGCATTGGCGGTAACGTCTGAGGGGAAGTTGTCGGTGATGTGGAACTCGGCATTCTTGGTGATATTAGAGATTGCCTCTTGCGGTGTGATCAGATAGGGTAGCCTGGCTGTGCCACTGCCCCAGCCCATGGTCAGCACGCCTTTGTTGCACCCTTGGTCGGCGCATGAGTTGAGACCGTCTGGATTTCCACCTGCGTCTGTGCCGAATACCTTGAGAGAATCATTGCTACGCAGAGGAAGGATGTCCATATCGTTCTTCAGCAAGGTAATTGCTTCCCGTGCGACGGCTCTCACGGTGATGTTGTGATTTCCTCTCACATCGACAAACTGGTTAACGACACCAGATGGAGAAAATAAAGCACCGGGGTAAAGCAAGCCCTCCTTATCCTGGGTGTTGGTCGAGAAGTTTGGCAAGGGATAGTCCTTATCCTGTCCGTGTTTGTACCAAGTAGCAACGATACGTTGAACCTAGACCCGTATATTAGACATGAAAGATTTCACATAGAGGACCGCGTACCATATCGTTGAGACGGTCGACAGGAACACTGCCATTCAAAACTGAACGCGACAGCTCAGGACCCCAGTATGAATCTCCGAACAAAGGAACTGCTCCATCGCCAGGCATGGACATATCCAAACCAGCTATGGCCGACGCAACGCCAGAGTAATGACCCAGCCAGTCCGTCATCACAAATCCTTGGAAGCCAAGCTCATCCTTGAGAATCCCATTGACCAACTTGCTGTTCTGAGAGCACGAAGAGCTATTGACCTATCAGATGTCAGCAACACACACAAAATAAGGACTGAAGCGACTCACATCGGAATAAGCTGTCATCAAGGACCCAACACCCGCACGAACACCCTCGGCAAAAGGCCAGAGGTACAGTTCATGCAATGTGCGATCATCAATATTAGACGAATAGCCCTGGGTAATAACACTTCCCATGCGATGCATTTCCTGCTCATTACCAATGTAATGCTTGATAGCCGCGATAGCACCGGTACTCTGCATACCCTTTATAGTCTGGGCACCTCCAAAAGCCTGCAGAACAGGATCAGCACCGAAGCCTTCCCAGTTCCGTCCACCGCGTGGCTTGCGTCCCAGTGCTCCCACGGATGGTCCGAGGAGCACATTGACTCCCTTACCGCGAGCCTCCTCGCCGAGCCCAACACCTCTCTCATACATGAGCTCTTTGTTAAAGGTCGCGCCAACCGTGATACCAGGCGGGAAGGCAGTATTGTGGTCCGAGTTGCGGACTCCCAGAGGGCTGTCTTGGAGGCACAAGTTGGGCACACCCAGGCGAGGCACGCTGCCTGTCTGCCCTACGCAGGGCCCCATGAAGAAGCCAGTGCCTGTAGTCAGATTGACTTTCTCGGCCAGCGTCATATTACTGACGAGAATATGCGCCTTGGAGTAGGCTTCACTCCAGTCGGAGATCCAGCCTCCTGGAGGTGTGGGATAGTATGCAGGTGATTCATAGCCTTCTGCTGCTCTCTCGTGTAGGTGGGTAGTAGATTCGAATTCTTCTGGTACTGGGGAAGCTAGGAGAAGCGGGGTCAAAAGAGAGACTAGAGTTAGATGCACCCAAGGAGCCATGGCGATGGATTCGCTATGAACAAAAAGAATGTAAGAAAAGATCGTATATTGGCCAGTCAAGAGAACGAGTGCATTTTTTTCCAGGTTCGAATCCGGGGATTCCAAACAGACAGGATCGCCAGGGGCTATAAGAGAACTACAGACGGAGGAACTACGTGGGAAGGAGCAACGCCCGCGTGCATGTCTCGGGGAAATGTATGTTCACGCGTGGACGCGTGGATGATCTTTGCTGGATTCGAGGAGGATCGTCATGGGAACCCGTTGATATTGCACTTGGCAGTGCGCTGAATACTGAGAACTTGTCACGATTTTTCAAGGATCGACTCGTGACTAGTCTACTAGTGAATTCACTCCCATGGGCGAGGGCTGCCTGACAAGAAATCCGAATGCTGATAGGCTGCATAGTGTCAGGGGTTCAGCAATTAAATATGCAAACCAGCACCCCCTTTTCTTCAACAATTCACTGTCCAAGTTCATTCAGTCAATAGTTCATCGAGATATTCCAATGTTACTGTAGATAGAACACGCGGCACTGGCCCGCTTGATCGCCATTGAAATGATAATTGCTCAATTTCATTCGTTGTTATACATATCCACGTCTTTAGATCTTGGTGTAGCGCAAGTAAGGCTTGACCTCGCGAACTTCACCAAACTTCTTCTTGGCATCCGCGGTACTCACAGAAGGAGGCACGATGACATCATCACCAACGTTCCAGTCGATCGGGGTAGTTACACCCTTCTTATCACCGGTCTGCAGGGAGTCGATGACTCGCAAGACCTCAGCGGAGTTTCGGCCGGTGGAGGCGGGGTACATCATGGTCAGGCGGATCTTCTTGCTCGGGTCGATAATGAACACGGAGCGAATAGTAAACGCAACTTCTTTTTGCCCGATGCTATCCTCGTCGATCATGTCGTACAAGAAGGCAACTTTGCGCTCGGCATCGGCGATGATTGGGAACTTGACTTGAGTCGAGCCGACTTCGTTAATGTCCTTGACCCACTGGTCGTGGGAACCGAGCTCGTTGGCACTCTGGAGAGAGTGGGCGCATCAGCCAAGGCTCTGTGGAAGTTATAAATGGCACTCACCAATCCAATCATCTTGACACCACGTGCGTCGAACTCATGCTGAAGCCGGGCGAAGGCGCCTAATTCGGTGGTACACACCTAATTTCGTGTTAGTTCAGTGTCTTCGTGGAGCATGTTGGTGAGAAATACGGGCGTGAAGTCTGCAGGGTGTGAAAAGAGGATGGTCCACTTATCACCGATGAACTCATGGAAGTCAATCTCGCCCTGAGTAGTCAATGCCTTGAAGTTTGGGGCTGTCTTGTGTTAGCATGGTATATTGGCAATGCAATCCTGTTGAAACTGTACCAATTGAGCCCAAGCGCAGATGCGGCTGTTCCACCTTAGCCGAGTAGAGGCGGCTGAAAGCGGGCGCACGAGGCACCTGCGCAGACCACGAAGCCCGTGGAGCAGCGCCGAGGGCACGGAACATCTGAGAGCCAATTCTTGAAGCCATGATTGTTAAGAGTGAAAGGTGCAATCTTCCAAAATCCAGAGTTGACGTTGACTACTCGGGGACTTCAGAAACCCCTGGGCCCCGGGAACCCGGTCGACGTCATCAAACCTGACTAAGCGGCCACTTCCGCGGTGCTGCAACGACGTATCACTTCCAAGGTTGGTTTGTCTTCACGCCAGATATATATCTCATCTTTCTAGTACTGAATCTGAATATTCCTTGTATTCCTTCAAATATCTCGTATATTGTACCGTCTAAAGTACGGAAATTGCACAATCAAGATTTATACAAATCCTACAAGATCCATTTATAGAACGCCCTATCCATATATCCGAGACATGAAGTACTATATATACTATCAAACATTCCGATGTACGGCGTGGGAAATTTGACGCCATCCACGGGTTAAACTGGAGTCAATGATTGGACCAATTAGAGCCCCAAATCCGAGACCCTTAATCGACACTCGGTCGATGTCCACAATGAAGTCAGCCAATGCCGCCCGTTTAATAGCTTGAATGATTCCTACGAGATGAAAATAATGTATATTTGACTAAAAAAGGAGAGTCGCTATACAAAGTATCATATGGAACCCTTGCTATCCCTTACGTATGTATATACACTGATTTACCTGATATATAATGCATAAGGAAGCTTCACAAGTCGAGACCAAGCTTTTGTGGGCCCTCGAAGGATCTTTCTAACAAAGAGACGGCGTTTCCCTGAAAGTTGGCAGATCCCTTTTTTGAAAGTCTTATCTTTGTTCTTTTCTCCCGAAAGGTTTCGCCACCATCGATATGGGACGGCTTCACTACCTACTCGGTTTGCTGCTATTGTTCATTTGTTCATTTTTCTGGATCGCATCGAATCTGGGAAAACAACCATTAAGCATTGCTCTTACTCATGCACCTCGTGAATCTTGCGTCTGTAGCGAAGACAATGTTACTGTCGCCTCAGATGTCGGTATCATACCGTCAAATCCACCGGAACCTCCTATTAATAAAGATATGAGGCCAATATCAGAACCACAAATACCAAGCTACCTGCCAATCGCGAATCCCCATGGTCACTACGCACAGTCCTCAATCCCATTAAAGCTCTGGCAAAAGGCCGGTTCAACGAAAATCCACGACGACCGCCAGAGAGATATCAACAGTTGGCTAGATGTGAACCCACGTCTACGACATGAGATTCTCACAGACGACAGTGCAGACGAGTACGTTCGTGAGCATTTTGCCAACTACCCAGAGGTCCTTGATCTCTATCTCTCACTTCCGGTCCCAATCCTAAAAGCCGATCTCCTTCGTCAATTGATCTTGTACGCCGACGGAGGAATTTGGAGCGATCTTGACGTGACATGTCACATACCAATTTATACTTGGATCCCGGAACAATTTCAAAACAAAACAAACGTCGTCGTCGGTTTGGAATTCGACGGGTTCCAGTTCGCGAGTTGGACGATCATGACAAAACCTAAGACAAGCCATATCGTGGCGGTCATGAAATATATCATCGATAGACTGAAGGCATCTGCTGCGCAGTACAATGTGACCACTGCACAACTTAACATGACGATGATCAGCGATGTGGTGGAAGTTACGGGTCCCCAGGCCATGACTATTGCTCTATTGCAGAATCTGGAGAAGGAAATGGGCGTTCCTTTCGGCCGGGCAAATATAACCAACATCAAAGAACCCACCCTATTTCAGGACGTACTCGTGTTGCCTAATGCGGCCTTTTCCTCTAGACAGGCTGGCTTCCCGGCGGACAGAGGGCCTTATCTCGTTGAACACCATTACGCTGGCTCTTGGAAGAATGTCAATGGTGGCGAGACGAAATCTTGACATATTGGGAATTTTGTATTGGCGTTGCACCGCACGAAATATATGTGGCAGGACGGACATAGAATCATGATAAACATAATCTAATTTTGCATTCAGCGCTTGATCAAATTTCGAGGAAATGACTGTTGATAGAAGAATAAGTTTATGTAGTTTGCTTCTATCGTGCCGTGTAATTTTATGCTGAATCTGCTGTCTGCTGCTTGATAAATCGACCGGCCACCATATAAACCGCCGAGGGAAGAACACAGCCCGGTAAACAAGATCGAGCATCAATTGGTTTCTATTTTACTCACTCTTCCCTCACTTGATCCTTACTATTTTCTCAGTTATTCCTCACTATCCTCTCACCTTCCTTTCGGGTTGAATATAACAGCCAAGCGCTAGCCGACCTTCCCACGGATATCCCGCCTTTCCACCAGTCTACAACCCACCCCAATCAATCTATACGTCATCTACAGTGCCGACCCCTATGATAGCACTGATCGTGAATCTACTGCCTAGGGCGTATCAAAACCGATATGGGCGTTGCTGGCGGGGGAGCACCAAAATCTCTCGAAGTCGTGACCATCTCATTTACCCCTGACTGATTGGACGTGATCGTCATCCTAAAATCACTCCCTCCAAGCTCAAGTACATGGTGCACGTCCCGTTCTGTCTTGGTACGATGAAACAATCTTCCTCACATTCTCCGTGGCAGCCAGACTCACCTGGTATACCAAAGCATAGCCGTCACTTGATTCTCAAACGGAGCGACACAGAGTCCTTCCTAGCACAGATGCCTACACGGTGATTACGGGCCCGTAATAATGGTGAGTATAATTGGTACCAAGTCACTGCGGTCGCAAGGGAGTTTGACGAAAGTCAGCGCTGATCCGTGCTCGTTGGTCCTTGGCCAAGAAATATGGGGTTCGGAAGGGAAATCGTGGTCGACTGGACAAGCAAGCCACTGTCATTGCGCAGGTGGCGACTGACAATAGGGCGTGAGAGTCGAAGCTGGTCAAGCTCGAGACAGAGACCGAGACTATGTGGCCCACACAGCTGACTAGCTTCAGTCTCTTCACGACGCTGCCACCGCGCTCAGCAACGAAAACGCGGACCTCCGCCAGCAGATCCAGGTGACCCAACCGTGTGAGGGTGTGGTTCGGAGACGAACAAGGCATTCAGGGCCGTTTTCAACAGTCAGTAAGACAGACTATTGGAGCGGTCCTGGAGGCCCAGTCTATCGGCGTAAGTCTTGGTGATTTCAAAGCTTCTGGTCTTGCTTACGATAAAGTCCCGGGCTGCGTCTGCATCACAACTAACCCGATTATTCTCCCTAGACTCAAAGCTATAGGATAGTTGAAAGTTCAATCCAGAGGAGCAAGCACCCACTCCAAGCCATCCAGAAATACCCATAGAACAGGGAGACACAACTGAAGCGGTAATGCAATTGGTTGAGGATCCCTTGACCATTCAATATGTCTTTGGTACAGACATAGCGTCAAGTGATTCGGACAATGAAGGAGTACCAAGTTCCTTTCTTGATGACCAGGAGGTAGGTCTCTATTATCGAGTTTAAAATGAGCATGTCTAACGAAAGAATATATCGGAGATAGATCAGACGTTATGGGATATCGTTGAAAACCTTCTAGAGAGCCTACCCTAGAATCACTGAGAATCCTACACGAGGAAGCACTCCTTACGAGAGAGGCACAACTCCGGGTGACTTGCCATGCAACTCACCGAGACGCCATGATACACACTGAAGCACGCTAGTCGTGGCATACGTTCTAAGCCATATCTATAAGTTTGGTGTTGCTTGTTCTATAATTGAGATGCTAACTGGATGGCCCACATAGTATTCGCTCAATCAACTTACCAGCCTCTACATTGGAAACGTTATGCGTGAATGTCACCGAGAACCCACAAGGTCTCAGTGGAGGAGCTAGTCAGGGGAGTGCCATTTTCAGAGCCCTCTCTCGTTGTCGAGGTTTCTTGAACAGCCTTTGAAGAGAACACAAGAGCCATTGGACTTTCTACCTCGATACTTTTCTATCAACTGCTTATTTCAGTATCAACTTTGCTACCCTATCTATCAACTGCCTATCAGACAAAATACCCAAGGCCGTAGATGGTTCTATCAAAGAGAGAGTTTTCTCGCTCAACAAGGATTTACTTCGTAGCTCCGGATCCTATGCTGCCACACGCTACGGCTACAGTTTGCTCAGTTCAGGCACCTGCTGCTCCTTTAAGGGAGACCGAGCAAAAACACTTACGGCATTCAAATAGAGCTGTTTGTTCGAAATATTCATAGTTCAGGTGGATATCTACATGTAACTAAGGACCGGGCTTGGGAGAGACGGTTGATGAGCAGGTCTTGAGAAGAATCAACTTAAATGAAGTAAACACTTGCTAGTCAAGATATCCCTGGTTCGGTTGCTAGGAACGACCGTATCCCAAGGTTGGCAAGCTTTGTGCTTTCTAGTGTCAAGACAATGGAATGGTTCCATTGGTTCATGTATGTGATCTACACGGGCCGCAAAGCTTAACCTATTGAGCTTAAAGGCCCACAATAGAAAATAGGCCACAATAGACAATAGGCCACAATGGGTTGGTATTGTGTTGGGAGCCTATTGATGGCTATTGATGGCTATTGTGGCAATTCATTGTTTGGAGGGGGTTGCCTGGGCAGGGTCCGTTTGAATGGGCAGTCGTTCAATTGAGGAAGGAACGCGTAGGAAGAACACCGCGTAGGCCTGCCTATAAAACCCAACCCTCGTTTTTGTTTTCTCTTTCTCCTCTCTCTCTCTTCCCCCTCACACATTTATCGCAAGAACCCCATTATTACCAACAACAATGGCTGTTTCTCGCGTCGTGTTTTTCGTGCTTCTTGCGGCCATGGCCGCATACTGGCACACTGATCTTTTCCAACTTGTTGGAACCATCGTCGTCTTTCTCGTTGCCTTGGTGGCAGCGGGATGCTGCATGAGCAGGTAAGTTTGGAAGCCTTCATCCTTCATCTGTCCCCTCCGTATGGCCAGCCTCTGGGTCATGTCTCATGGCATCAAAAGAGTTGCCATCACTGCCTTGCCCAAGACTCATCCCACGCCCATCCCAACTCCATCACTGCCTTACCGAAGCCCATCACTGCCTTGCCCAAGTCACATCCCAAGCCCATCCCAAGCCCATCCCAAGTCACATCCCAAGTCACATCCCAAGTCACATCCCAAGTCACATCCCAAGTCACATCCCAAACACTCACTCAAACACTCGCCCAAAAGACCATTAAGACTAACGTTGAGTAGCTCCCGTGGGTGGTTGTTCCGACTGCTGCAAGCTGCAGCAGTGTCGGTCGTTGAACCAACACCGACCAACGACACCCCCGCCACCAAGGCCATCTCGGCCACCGAGGCCGAGATGAAGAGAATTTCGACACTGAGAGCGCAGGTGGGGATTTTGGAGCAGCAGCTCCGTGGCACGGAGGCACGAGTGCGTGACTCCGAGAAAGCCCGGGAGATGGAGAAAAACCGCCATGACAAGGAGGTCCGGAACAAGGACGCTCAACTGGCAACCATCTCTCGGGGGATCAAGGAGTCCCGGTACGTGAAGGACCAGGTCATCGTCGAGTGCCGCCAGTGGCGGCGCAAGTTCGAGGACCTGGAAGACCTACAGCGACTGGCCCAGCTAAATCCCGTTCGCGGGATGCAGGGACGTACTCGTTGGGCCCCTGCCAACAAAAACGGAGTGCGAAAGGGGAATCGTGCTCGACCGGACAAGGAGTTCACTGCCGTTGCGCAGGTGGCAATTGTCAATGCGGCGTGGGAGTCGAAGATGGTCAGCTTCGAGAACGAGGCCCGTGCTTATGTGGCCCGCACGGCTGACCAGATTCGGTCTCTCAACGACGCTGCCACCGCGCTCAGCAACGAGAACGCGTTCCTCCGCCAGCAGATCCAGGCGACTTCCGGCATCTCCCACGAGCTGGCCCAGCAGCAAATGGGGGAGGCTGTGAGAAGCGCCTTGGTGAACGCCGAGCAGCAACATGAGGAGCGTGTCAAGTTGCTGAAGCAGACCCATCTTGGGGAGCTGACGGCAGTCAAGGTCGACTACGAGGGGAAATTGACTAAGGCGACCGCGGAATCGAAGGCGGAGGCGGAGACCGCACTTTCCCAGCAGCGTGAGGTAGGCGAGGGAGCGGCACAGCACGCACTCGCCACCAAAGAAGCGCAGCTGGGGGAGCTGCGTGCCACACTCTCCCAGCAGCTCGAGGCGAGCGAGGCAGCGGCTCAGGAGACAAGTTCCCTGAAGCAGGCACTCGCCGCCAAAGACGCACAGCTGGGGGAGCTGCGGGCTGCACTGTCCCAACAGCATGAGGCGGGCGAGGGAGCGGCACAGCACGCACTCGCCGCCAAGGAAGCGCAGTTGGGGGAGATGTGGACCGCGCTGTCCCAGCAGCGTGAGGTGAGCGAAGGAGCTGTTCAGGAGACAAATTCCCTGAAGCATGCACTCGCCACCCAGGAAGCGCAGCTGGGGGAGTTGTTGGCCGCCAATGCCATGATTTCCGCTGAGCTACAGGCTAGTAAGGAAGAGCAGGAGAAACTGGATGGTGACATGGAGGTCGAAACCTCCAGGGTCGTCCAGTACGTGCAAGAGAGGGACGGCGCTATTAGAGCCGGCAAGAAATTGCAGGAGCAATTCCATGCCCTGCAGGAGCAGTACGAGGAACTACGGTCCTCGTACAGCGACCTTGCGGTGGAGAAGGCGGGCCTTGAGGTAGAAATTGGGGACCTAAAGGAAGCAGTGTCCGACCTCGCCGACCAAGGCGAGGCGATGTACCAGGAGGTCGAAGGCCTCGAGGGCAACAACCGAGCCCTGGCAAATCAAAACTCCGAGCTCTTTTGCCAGTCTTTGGCATCAGACATGGAGCTCCAGCAGACTCGGGACAAAGTGGGCAACCTTGAGCGCCAGGTGACGGATTACCAGACGGCGGAGGCGGCGGACATCACGTCGGCGGTTAGCGGCATGGGGTTCAACGCTGAATAAGCGCCCATCCGCCCGTCTTAGCCTCCCCCGGTCTCCGTCATCCTGCTGCAGCTCGGTTGCTCACTTTGTTGTTGTCCTCACATTGCTTCCTATAGGTTCTCAACCCGCCCCCACCTCCCTCTCTATCTTTCTTGCTGTTGTCTTTGTCTTCCCCCCCCCTATTCCTAGCTGTTCCATCCCTCATCTGATCACCCCCTCTCACCCCCCTCTCCGGCGCGACCGACCCCCCGCGACCGACCCTATATATATACATCGCAGCATGTCTCGCTAATGACTCTCGGTCTCATGAATTCACCATACCGCTCGTTTGCCGCTCGGCCAGTGATGCTGAGTCTGGCCAAGCTTGTGCTCGTTGCGATATGGCAAATTCCTTTCACCACGGCGGCGCCTGTCTTCTCGCGGCTTGTTCTGTCATCTCCCGACACAGAACAGGGGAAGGAACCGAGCGATCCAAGTTTATGGCTTTATTTGGGATTTTCGGCTGCTCTTGTGTTGAGCGGTGGAGCATTCGCGGGTCTTACGATTGCCCTGATGGGACAGGTTAGCTCTTTCCAATGCGGCTAAAAAAAAATCCCCGATGAGCCAGGCTAACGTCTTGATTGTTTCGTACAGGATGAAGTTTACCTCCAAGTCATCCAGACATCTGGCGAAGGGCACGAGAGGAAAAATGCTACTAGTGTTCTCAATCTCTTGAACCACGGAAAACATTGGGTTCTTGTGACACTACTCCTCAGCAATGTGATCACAAATGAAACTTTACCCATTGTCCTTGACCGCACGCTTGGTGGTGGTTGGCCGGCAGTGTTAGGAAGCACTGCTTTGATTGTCATCTTCGGCGAGATTGTTCCACAGTCTATCTGCGTTCGTTATGGTCTTCCCATCGGTGCCTGGATGGCGCCTTGCGTCCTGGTCTTGATGTACATCATGTCTCCAGTCGCCTGGCCAATCGCAAAGCTGCTAGACAGGCTGCTTGGAGAGGACCATGGTACCATCTACAAAAAGGCCGGATTGAAAACACTCGTCACACTCCACAAAACATTGGGCGAAGCCGGAGAGCAACTAAACTCCGATGAAGTGACCATTATCAGTGCGGTCCTCGACCTCAAAGAGAAGTCAGTCGGCAGCATCATGACACCGATGGATGATGTCTTCACCATGTCTGCAGACACTGTGTTGGACGAACGCACAATGGACCTCATTCTTTCTCAGGGATATTCTCGCATTCCAATCCACGCTCCTGAGAATCCGATGAACTTTGTCGGTATGCTCCTTGTCAAGATGCTCATTACCTACGACCCGGAAGATTGCAAACGGGTCCGTGAGTTTGCTCTGGCTACACTTCCTGAAACACGCCCTGAAACCAGTTGTCTCGATATTGTGAATTTCTTCCAAGAGGGCAAGTCACATATGGTTCTTGTATCTGAATATCCTAGCGAGGATCGTGGCGCTCTTGGAGTTGTCACCCTGGAAGATGTCATTGAAGAACTGATTGGAGAAGAAATCATTGACGAATCTGACGTCTTTATTGATGTCCACAAAGCCATCCGACGAATGACGCCTGCACCCAAGTCTCGTGTCGCCAAAGGCAAGATCGTCGAGGAACCTCCTTTGAACCCCTCTATCATTCCCGATGGCGACTTGATCGACGTGAATTCCACACAACCCTCATCTTTCCCTAGGCCTTCCGATTTGATTCGCCGCCGCAGTTCCGTGGAAGCACCCCTCCCTCGCTTTCAACTTCGAAAGACTACTGCCGACATGAATTCTGACTCGGCAAATGAGTGGGTTACACAAGTCGGCGCCACAGATGAGATTCGAGAACACCTAAAACATCTTGGTCCTTCCAATCTGGCCAGTAGGCCGCGCCAAACCCGTTACCATTCCGTCAAGATCAAGCGCAACGGCACCTCTCCGTCCCGTTCTGCACAAACCGACTTTGAGTCCGGACAAAGCACCTCCGACTCCCAAAAGCTTCTTCCTTCTTCTACCGCATACCAAGGTGGCATAGGTGCGGGCTTGCTCAACTCCGCTGGAACAGACGCGAAAGACGGTGCGCATGCTCTCAAACTGGGCTACGGCACCATGCTTTCGCACGACAGTGTAAGCAAAAGCACCGGTGCTCATCAATACAAGGACCTTCCCCAAGTCTCCATTCCCGAGGCCGTTCGTGAGGAACATGAAGACCTACCGCGTTCTGGGCCGGCGCGGGAGGCTAGTAGTGATGCTCTACGTGACGATTCCGAAAACCAACCGCGTTCTGGGCCGGCGCGGGAGGCTAGTAGTGATGAAGGCAGTGTTGAATCGTCTGGTACACCAGGCTTCGTTTACCACCACCGCGGACCGGCGCGCAGTGGAAGCATCACAGAACAGATCGTGGATGTCAATGGTATCCGGAAAGTTGTTCTGCATGCAAATTGCACCAGTTCTTCCGAGGGGGAATCCCATGCACCAGGCCATGATCACAACCACGACCAGCATCATACCGATGGTGCGGTCCTTGAGACCGATGTTACAAAATCCGAAACCCCCGACGCCGGCCACGCAAAACCCAAAAAGAAGCGTCGCCGAAAGAAGCATGGCAAGGCTTCAAAGTCTGATGGCGGTCCCTCAGAGAACCAGCCGTTGCTTTGATGAGCCGTTAGTTAGTTTAATGAGACCTGTCAATCCATGTATTTTCACTTCTTTTTGTACCACAATTATGCCTGTAGTCATGAGATGTGGAAGCGCCTCCGGGAAAGTCTAAGTATATTTGCATTGCTTTGGAACGGTATATGCCAACTAAGAAGCCCAAAGCCTCTTAACTCGCGTAGGAACTTGATATACCACATGAACACTGGGAGTAGATTTCAGTCACCTTGGACAGCAATTGTTGATTTAAATGCAACATTCGTGGAGAGAACCCAGAACAGGCCAGCACGCATTTACATGTAGACTCTAAGGAACGAAAATCACCACCTTTGAGAAAGTTGTCTTACCCATAGGTAAACTATCATGTTACCACCCACTGCCTCTTTCTAGATAGTGAGTGGGTGTGACATATAGAGCTGGATTGCCCAAACATTCAGGGACTAAGACTCGGGATTCAATAGGAGCCTATGAGTGTCTTACTAGCAATCCTTTTCAAACAACCCTTAATGTAATTATAAAAGCCATCTGGGGGGAATTTAACATTGGAACCAGACACAAGTAGGCAACCTATACAGGCTACAAATAGTTATAGTGCACGGATAGATGTACAAAGAGAGTAAATGAAGTTGTATTGGCCGGCGGCCTGAACCTGCTCTAGGATGTAACACCGAAAGTCGACAGTATGAGCCTCGGAATGAAAGCCATCTAGGACTCACTCAAAAGGGCGTCGTTTAATATTCTGAAGTCCTTGGAGATATCCCTCGATCGAGTCGGACTTCTCCTTCTCAACCCAACCCTTAGTATAAACTCCCCTAAAATCAATCAGGTATGCATCCTCATTGACGTCAATGAGTATATTGGCCGCCTTTATATCTCCCCAAATGATATTATGTAAATGAAAGTGTTGAAGTGTGTGTAAAACCTGATTAAACCATTTTTGTCAAAGCTCGGAATATTTGGGATTATGTCTATCAATGCAGTTGAGTGTAGCTCTACCACAATTGATATATGAGAAGAGCAATCCTATGATATACCCATTATCATCCTAGACCAGCCCTCCTAGTTGCGATATGAGAATTGGGGGATCGAATTTAGCTATATGAATCTTTGAATAAGTGAGAATCTCTTATAAGAATACCTGCATCACCCCAATAGACTAGCTTAAAGAAGCTAGGCCGTGGTCGCCTATGAATAAATAATTTGCGAGGTATTGCTGGCAGTGCAGCTGAGTCTGCACTAATTGGAACTTGGACTTCCCTAGGATGGTAGACAGAAAAGCTCGAGTAGTCGACGGAGGATGGTTGCATCCTCTTGGTATTACTGAGATAAACAGGAACTAACTTCTCTTCTACCACCTGCACAGTGTAGTGGAATTCTTCTGCAAACAGATAGTCGTTAAGCGTATACTTTTGACTCGGGTCCAGGGGAGCAATTTCGTGGAAGATTGGCAGAAATGGCCGCAAGGCCCAATCATGCATTTCTTCAAGAGGGTCTTCAATTTCCCTATCATTATCTATCTCAGCCTCATCGGGTATCCATTCTGGCTCTTGACGTCGAACGTGTCGAAGATGTTCGGCCAGGAGGGTAGATGAGCTTTCGAAGCTGGAAGCAAAGAGATCAATTTCGAAGCGTTTTTTTGGAAACATAGACATTCAACTGTGTGTCTTTGTTTTTGGTACTTGATCTAAATAGACCGATTTCATAGATGGGTTGCTTCGTGTTATCGCTGGCAGTCGAGGAGTGCAAAAAGAAAGGAGATAGAGAGTGCAGTTTATCGATCAAATCGGATTGGAAGCTAACAGAGAACTAGAAGAGAAAAAGGAACAAAGAGAGATGGGAACGAAGAAGCCTTTACCCTAGGCATTGGTAGAGTCAGCTATAGACGGTTATATCTAACTAGCCGATGATACCTCATATCTGCAGCAGGTTGGCAATTGGGTCTCCGCAGCAGCCTTTACCATTGCCACCCTAAGCCAAAAATCGACCGTATGGATAAAGGCGTATTGGAGCTAGACCCAAGGTAGAATTATCACAGGTTCTCCTGTTACATCTACAACTATAAGATCAAGACACAGAAATGGAGCAAATTTGACTTGATTTTGCTCAGACTAAATACATGAATGATATCTCCCAAAAGACTCCCCCAGATAACAGGATGAGATGACGACAAAGTGACAACAGCTGTAACAAAAGGTATATGTAATAGTCCATGTGATGAATCGATCATTGCAGAAGAGGGTCCTAGTGGGAAGTTAGTTTTGCAAAACAAAAAAAGAGTACAGGTCGAACATACCCTGAAGTGCTTCTGGTGATTGTTGGCTTTTTGAACGCGGGCAACGTAGCGGTTCTCTTGGCGAAGGGCACGAGTCCTCTCGCGGCGCTCGGCAGTAAGAGCAGCTTCTTTTTGTTCGTCGGTAACTCCAATCATGCCCATGCCACCGTTGGCACGAGTGATAAGAGAGCGGTGATGGTTGGTGCGGCCGCGGGGAGGTTCCTCCTCGATTTCTCCATTCGCAATGGCAAGCTGGCGGGCAGCTCGTTCGGCGGCTGAGGGGTATTTGTGCAGGTTTTGTCGGTAATATTTGGCAAGCGAACGATGACCGACACTCTTTCCAGATGGAAGGTGGAGCTCGTAGTCTGCCTCGTAGGCACCTGAGGCGTTTCGATATGAGTCAAGATCGTCCTCGTCGACGGAGGATGCAGAACTGTCGGTTTCCCAGCCTTCATCTCCATCTCCGTGCACCTTGACGCCACCGCTCCCGGCAGTGGATTCGTCTTCATCTTCGGAGTAGGTGCTTCGGAAATCGTAGTATTGGCCGATTTCAACTTGTTCTTCTTCGGACTCGAAGGCAATCATGCAGTGGCTCTTGTCGCGCATGTGGGTTTGGATGGCTTGTGCGTCATTCTTCATAGCGTGACAGTAAAGACATTCGAAGTTTTCGGTGATTTTTCGGTAGAGATAATGCACGAGGCCATCGAGATCCGACAAATATTTTTGTTCGGGGATAAACATGCCGTGCTCTATCCGCATGTGGTCCACGTTGGTGTGAATATCAGATGATTCAGTTTTGCAGAAGAGACAGCGAGTCGCCAAGAACTCGTCCTTCTTGATATCACTTTCCATATCCTCATCTTCTTCTTCGTCAATGGTGGCAGCCTTCAGGTCCTCGGTGACCTTGCTGACGTCATCGCCCGATTTGGTCACGGGCTCGCCGAGAGAGAAAGCGGAACTTTGTACGGAGGCAGCATCGCCATCCTTACGTAGGCTGGCCGCACGTTGCTTGTGCTTCGAGCTGTTCAAGTGATTCTTGTACGAGTTTTCGCTGTAGAATGCCTTATTGCAAGTGTGGCATGTATTTTCGTACGAAGCTTTGGCAGCGGCCTCATTGGATGTAGCTTTGGCGGCCAGAACTTTCTCGTTGAAGGTTTCGAGAGTGACAGGTGGCAGAGAGGCGATGCGACGCTTCATGTTGTATAAACTATAGAAAATCAGCTTCTGAAGTCGCAAAAAAAAAAAAAATCAAGACGGAAAAGAGACTTACTGCCAGTCTTTGCGCATGTGATCTCTCTGAACATCGCTGCGTTGGAAGGCAACGAGACAGGTGTTGCAAGTGTATTGCAGCGAGGCTGCGTCTTGGGTGGTCGACGACATATCGGTAGATTTTCGAGAGTCGTGGGTGGTTGTAAGGGCGGGTTTCCCCTTTGGATTGTGGGATAAATATTTGTTGCAGGCGGGGTACATATGAAGGCTCTGCCTGGGCCCGATTTGAATGATTTTTTGATGATCTGAGTGTATATTGATGATCAAAGTAGATGAAAGTGATGCGATGCAGGTGGATGTAAGAGAGAAGAATTTTCGGAGGGCAATGGTCCTGCGAGTGATTCTTTATACACTCGATAGACCGTCATCCAGAGTTGCTCCGCCGCTTGAAATTGTTTCTTATCGAGCGACTAGCCCCCTCTCGAATTCCACTAGTCCTATACTGGTTAGCGTGGTTACCGTAAACGGCTTAGTAGCCTTCGAAAAGGCCGGCGGAACTGAGTGGACCAAGGTCCGCCGGATTATTTGACTTCCGACAGCTCCGATGCCAAAAGGGGAAATATTTTGCCTGAGGCATAACGTCTTACTACGTTATCAGGTAAGCTGGAGCGTCTTCAAGGTAGGTCGCATTTATTCAACGCGTGGCGACGAGTAAACCACTAGCGCTCATCCTCGCATCCAGCTGCTCTCACACCCTCAGAAATGCCACACTGCTAAAAATGACGAGGCTCCGTGGAGGTTCCATAGACGACCCAGACATCGCGCAATCCCCCGGGCACGGGCGAACGAACACTTATCGGTCAAAGCTCCCACCAAACGCATCGGATGCGCTCTCACAGAATACTATTGAGGTATCCGATCCCTCAAGAGTGCTACCACGGTATCGCGATGATCGAAGACGAAAGTTCAACGGCTTAGTGCGCCGGTGAGTGGGACTCCAAACGCTGGGCCTCGCCTCCTAATTCCGTATGACACTAATTGATTTTGCGGAAAAGGTACAAAGCTCAACTGCTTCACGGCTGCGATGACCCCGGATGTCGAACAGCTACATGTGCTAGTCATCGCCGAAGACTCAGTGAAGGTCCATATCGTCGGTACACAGAACTTAGTGCGAGGACGCTGGCATGCTACCTCGCCAGCTTGGACGACCCGGAGACCGGTCTATGTCTCAATGTGCCTAAGCCTCCACCTCAATTGACAGTAGAAGATTACCATCGGATGTCCCTGCGCCGAACCCGTACACTTGAAGCACAGACGGCAGCGGCTAATAGATCGCCAAAACCGGATCAGTATGACGAAGACCACCCGACCCGCGATATGTCCAGGCCTGCGCAAGATAGATCAGCAGTGTCAAAAGTGACAGAAGGGGGTTCTTCGCCTCAAGTCAACACCGGTAGCAGCTATATTCGGGACCTTGACCATACCGCAGAGCAACAACTAAAAGACCCCAAGTCCTTTACACAGAATCTCTTTGATACAATCTCGCTCCGTATGGTCGAATGGCTTCCTCTTCGCCGTGCTGCGGATGCATTAGAGTCAAAGTCTAAACCCCTTGCACCGGGAACTGCGAGCTATCCATCTGCTGCTGAGAAGCACCACTGCGATGCCGATAAAGTTCCAGGCAGAGATGTGAAGATTCCAGCGAGTTCCACGCCTGCAAATCAGCCCATCTCTCAACCTCGTACTCCTTCATCGCGAACGTCGGCATCGCAACCCCCTGCGGTCGAGCTCAAGTTCCAGAACCAGCATGTCAAGCGACTGTCAATCTCCGAGGTTGACCATTGGCGCCAGAGTCCACGATCAAGCCTTGAAGATAAAAAGAAACCAGAATTTAGCAGGAAGGTCCCGGTGGCTTCTTCCGATGAGTTTGTCAGCTTGCCCTCACCGCCGGCGTTAAAGCACCGTCCGCAAAAGCACCGCGGAAGAATTGGGGACGTCGATTCGGTTCCTCTGAAGGGACACCGCAAAAGTCAACGACGTGTCTCCTGGGACAGCCAGAAGCTGCTCGATGAGGTATCTCCTATCAACAATACGAGGAGCAAGGAGCTCATGCCTCCTCCTCGCCCTTTCCCTTCTGTTAACCAATCCCCCAGTGAGCGCAAGACAAAGCAACCTCCTGTTGAAAATTCGTTAGACACCATTCCTCTGGCTCAGACGATCACTCATCTTACCCCCGAGATTATCGATGGTCTGTCACGGGTCATGATTGAATCTGCGGAAGATGCTGATTGCTGGGAGGAAGAGCTTGATCGTATTCAGTGCACTGGCAGCTTTGAGCAGCCGGATTGGTGTTTTGCAACTCTGCGTCAGCGTGAAGTATTTCCGTTCGTTGCCCAAAGTGTATTTTTCGTGTTCAGCAGCCCCAATCAAATTCTGCGCTCCTTCAGTAGCGAGCCAACAGATATGATTGGGACTACTTTCAGTCGCCTTGATGTTTCCCATCTGCGTTTATCGCTGCAGCGCCTGTTCACAATATGCCCATGGGATATTGCACTACATAGCCTATGGAGCTCTCTGGACAAGCTCTTTGTTCCCCCGCGGGGATTTACCTCTTCTGGACGGCCATCCCGCCGATCGTCTCGCAGTTCGACCATGACAGGACCTGCGGCCCCTCCGATCGTTCCCCGACGAGTTTCTGAATCTGCCAGTGACCATCATATGTCTGATCCTGATGCTGCCTACATTGCCACGATTGCCTTGTTCACTTTGGTCAGCTTCTTGCCTAAGATTGACTTGGGGACTTGGAAAGCGGTGGTTCGGATGCGTGCCGCTGGGTCTGTAGCCTCGCTCTCGGACATGCGCAAGCTGCCTTCGAAGAATGCCCAGCAAGCTATCGAGGTGACGGACAGATTCGAGCACGAGTTAGGTCTTCGCCTCATTAATCGCCTCGTGCGGGCTCTCACTGCACGACTGGCGTATCATGAAATCTCCAAGGCCCGCCAAGTGTACAGCCTCGACGTACCAAAACAACGAAGACTCAGCGTATTGGACCGTGTCATTGACTATCTTAGTGAGCAATACATCTCTCACACTGCTGGCAGCGATGAGCCCGCTGAGTCTATCAACCCATCCTCTCTCATTGTTGAGTGGCTTCGGACTCTTTTCCTGCGTGAATGGGACGGCAACCCCGAGATGGCTCGTAGCAGCCCAGCCGGTGGTGCCGTTCAGATTCTAGCCTCAATGTACAAGGAACGAAACCGGTTAGGTCTTTTACCCGAAGACTTCCATACACCTCTTCTCACGGAGCGGCTGGACCCATTGGATATGCCCGTGGCATGGGTTGGAAGCCTCACAAACAACCGAACCATGCATCTGCTATCATATTCTTTCCTTTTCCCTCCGTCGTCTCTCGTGATCTACTTCCGTGCTTTGAACTATGCTGCCATGACCAAGTCCTATGAGGCGGCTATGACCACTACGAGACATGTCACGCAGACTGCCTTTGGCGCCATTCAAATTTCCGATGATCCTCGACTCCTCACCTCCATGAAAACATCCATGTCTACTTACCTCGTCATTGTTGTCCGCCGTGACAATATTCTCTCCGATGCTCTGAGCCAATTATGGCGGCGTGAAAAGCGAGAACTGATGCGACCTTTGAAGGTGCAAATGGGCATGGATGAAGGAGAAGAGGGTCTTGACCATGGTGGTGTGCAACAAGAGTTCTTCCGTTTGCTAATGGGTCAAGCCTTTGACCCATCTTATGGCATGTTCACGGTTGATACTCGACACCGCATATCTTGGTTTCAACCTTGCTCATTGGAACCTCTCTACAAGTTCGAACTTATCGGTCTGTTGATGTCTATTGCAATTTACAACGGCCTAACCCTCCCCGTGAATCTTCCCACTGCTTTCTACCGCAAAATGTTGGGTCTGAAGGTGAAGCATCTGGACCACATCCGAGATGGATGGCCGGAGCTAAGCCAAGGGCTCGACTCATTATTGGCATGGAAAGATGGCGATGTCGGCGATATTTTCACAAGAACTTACGAGTTCAGCTTTGAAGCCTTCGGAAGTGTCGAGACAGTCGACATGGAAAAAGTTCATCGTGATGCAGCGTGGCCTGTTGCTAGCAAAGTCAAAATCACCGCTCCGGCTCCTATAGCGGGCTCCAGCGCCTGGATGGACGTGCCAGCTTACTGCGACCCTGCGACATTGAGATCACCAACCTCCATGGCAGTCGAGGAGACCACCGATGCCACACCTTGTGAGCCTGCCCCAGACACGGCCGTCAAGTCAGTATCTGAGTCCATATCACTTCAGTCCCCTCTGCTCCAGGATGAAGAGGCCGCTCTTGTGACGAATAAAAATCGAAATCAGTTTGTCAAGGATTACATCTTCTGGCTCACAGACAAATCCATTCGACCACAGTTTGAAGCCTTCCAGAGGGGCTTCAACACATGCCTGGACCGATCGGCTCTATCCATCTTCTCCCCCGAAGCCCTTAAAACCGTGGTTGAAGGTATTCAATCGATTGACGTAGACGAGCTCGAGAAACATGCCCGGTACGAGGGTGGATTTGGTCCTGATCATCGAGTCATTCGTGACTTCTGGGATATTGTCCACGAATACCCCAATGAGAAGAGGGCCCAATTACTCGAATTTGTCACTGCTAGTGACCGAGTTCCCGTCAACGGTATCTCAAGCATTATGTTTGTGATTCAGAAAAACGGCGTTGGAGATCTGGTAAGTTCTGCCACTTTTTATAGCATACATAATATGGATTGTTATACTAATTGCTCTTCTAGCGTCTTCCTACCAGCTTGACGTGCTTCGGACGTTTGCTTTTGCCAGAGTACTCTTCAAAGGAGACCTTGGCAACGAAGCTTGACAAGGCTCTCGAAAATGCTCAGGGATTCGGCGTTGCATAAAAGGTTGTCAGATTACATTTTGCCTATACATACCCATTTGTTCGATATTTCATTGATGTGGTGTTAGCATTCTATCTCATACGGTGCAAATAGCATAGTTTCATGAAGCACTTGTCTTTACATGGACATCTCACGAGAATTTAAGATAGACAAATCATAGTTTATAGATCCCCATCGTACTCCAATGCAGGGCTCTGGTTCGCCTGACGATGTGGCGCTCCGCAAATTTATACCAAATCGGACTTCTGAGGTCCGGCGATGACTCTTAGCATTCACATCCCTAAGTGTATCTGTTTACTCTTTTACTCGCACATATCTCTTTACATTCGGAAATTCCCTTTGGGCCAAGTCTTCTGTATAAAGTAAGACACTCCGATTCGCACGCACAACTTACCCGCTATCACCCCCCACGTCCCGCGATAAGCGCCCATCTTCGCCTTCAATATCTGCAACTCCTGCAAGTTCTAACGTGAAATTTACCAGCTTACTCCAAATACCCGATTGAACGTTTGATCATGGCTCCCATTATTCACTGCGTCCGCCACGCCCAAGTATGTCCTTATAGTGACAGTGATCGCAACTCCCTGAGCCTCGACAACTAATGCGCAACATGGCTCTTCACTGCTCAGTCGAGCTAATAGATAATCGCAGGGCCTGCACAACGTTTGCACCGCCAACCACATTATCCAAGACCCCGTTCTCACCGAGCTTGGCCACGAACAATGCCGAAAGCTCCGCGAGAGTTTCCCCCGCCATGCCAATATCGACCTGGTAACCGCCTCGCCCCTCCGTCGCACCATCTATACTGCGCTCGAGAGCTTTGCGCCCGTCTTTGAATCAAAGCCGGACTTGAAGATTATCGCCCTGCCAGACATTCAGGAGACTTCGGACGTTCCGTGTGATACCGGCAGCGACCCTTCTGTTCTGAAGGAGGAGTTCAAGACGGGGGTTGATCTGGATCTTGTACAAGATGGGTGGAATAACAAGGTATGCTTCTCATTTTATTGCACCTCGAAATTGCCCCATTATTATCCAAAACGTGGATTACTCACATTTGTCAAAAGGCATCTGGTCGCTACGCCCCAACCAACAAAGCCCTCAAGGAACGCGCCCGTGCAGCCCGTCGCTGGCTGAAAGCCCGCCCGGAGAAGGAAATTGTCATGGTTACACACGGCGGCTTCCTGCACTATTTCACTGAAGACTGGGAAGACAGCAGCCAATTCCAGGGTATGTGACGTCAAGCTACGACTGTGGAGAATCATACCGCTGACGCCGTTTCCCATTCTTCCAGGCACCGGCTGGTCTAACACCGAGTACCGCACTTTCGCTTTCAGCGGGGAAGCACACACAGATGATCTGGAGGGATACCCGCTGGACGGTGATAATGCCTCACTTGAGGAGACACTTGAATCACGGCAGCGCCGGGGTAAGACTGGACCCATGCCTAGTCGGGAGGAACAGAAGACGCTGTATAAGAAGGGCTACCAGGGTTGGGATGACCAGGGATTGCAGATGAGCACTGCTGATCGGGAGGCGGCTAAGGCCACTGGAGGTGAGGAGGTCGATGGGGTCCGCATATAACTGGGCAGAAGAAGTGTGTTTTGATGGACATTGCTATCGTAATTTTCGGTTGTCGCAGATGGCGACGGGTAACAAGGATAGAGCGAGTACATACATAGATCTGACATGAACCAAAATGGATTCCTTGGATGTCTAAGACAGGCTCTTTATTCCATTGTCTGTTGCTTTATTTGCGTTAGTCCCCTTGACTCTCGAGCCCCTTGGGCTATTTTAGCCCTCGGTGGCTGTTTCAGCAAACAATAGAACAAAGCTGACAAGCATGCATTATATGCCTTCATTGTTGAGTTCTTTACTCGATCTAAGTCTTCTTTATCTTCGGTTGTGAACAATGACCTTGGCCTCGGAACACGAAACAGTCTGCCATAGCCTCGACAAGGATGCCGACAAAGAATCTGTAGAACAACTATGAACTAAGCTACCCCTTTGTCTTGGATATGATTGTCTATATAATGGCTTTCTGGCCCCTCGCTTTTGATCCCGTCATCAGGAGCAATCCAGCCCAGGACAGAGCTCAACACCTACCTGTCTTCCACTACTATTGCGAACCATCCGCTGAGTACCCTTTCCATTCATTTTTGGGATAGACACTGACACCATTATCTAGGAATATTTACATACCGAGAATACCTTCTTATTATATCACAGGTGGGAGACCCCCCGCAAGATGCATTGCTAACATAGAATATAACATAACAGACAAGGACACCGAGGCATTAGACGACGAGTACCAATCCGAACATGCATATTACCTGTCTACGGCTAAGTTCTTTGATAACCCTTATACTCCCCCCTTGGCTTCCTCTACTAACGAGATCCAGAGATTACCGCACCACGGGTCGTTCCAGGCATACCGTCTTAAATATCATTACACATGCAGTAGGTCATTCCCGATGCGCAGAGACATACTAACAGACCGGATTAGATCCCATACGAAATATTTCCCCCAGAGGGATCCAAATAGCGACTAGCTGAACGGCTAAGTTCTTTATTGCCCTTCTTAGAAACATGAATTCAGTACTAACGAAGCATAGGCCCGCCGATATTCTTTATTCAACATCATCACATAGCTCCCATATTAAACAGCTAAGTCATTCTTCGTCCTCGTGTTACTAACCCGATTTGTATAGATACATCTCGACGATATATGCACAGTATATTGTGGCTAGCTATTAGCCTAGACTGGGGTTGATTATTTGTGCCAAATATTGCACATTGTCTTATTTATCAAGCAGCTAGGTCATTCCCTTGAGCCCCCATGTTGACTAATTTGGAGTTTACACGCAGCCATATATCACTAGGCCACCGGGACTAGCTTGATTAATTCAACGGATGAGCTGTTCACAACGCACCTCTTTAAGGAGACTACCTATTGTTATACTTGCCAAGCAGCTAAGTTATCCCTTCTGGACCCCATTACAACTAAGTGGTATCATATAGATATCGATGCGGGTACTCCTCTCGACCAATCTGCAATTGGTGACGGCTCGTGCCGTGTACGAGATTAGAAAATCGAGGCATTTCACTCTTGCCAATACCCATATTTTGCTGCTTAGCAGCAAGTGACCATGAGCAGACTATACCATTTATTAAATTACTCTTGTTTCTGTCTCGCTACATAATACTGTCACCTAGGAATGAAGGAATGGATAGAAATGGGCCTTTTCTGATTGACATATCCTCGCTCTGATAGTAGCTGATCAGCTAGTACACCACATCGTAAGGTAAGGTAAGATAGATACAATTATCAGTTTGATAATCCAGGAAATTGTGTTCCAGGATCCATGGAACTTTCAACAAACTTGTCTACTGTGCCGCTCCCTCGCCCACCTCACGCTGCTGGGAAAGTGCGGTCTCCGCCTTCGATCCCGCGGTCACCTTAGTCAATTTTCCCTCGTAGTCGACCTTGACTGCCGTCAGCTCCCCAAGATGGGTCTGCTTCAGCAACTTGACACGCTCCTCATGTTGCTGCTCGGCGTTCACCAAGGCTCTTCTCACAGCCTCCCCCATCTGCTGCTGGGCCAGCTCGTGGGAGATGCCGGAAGTCGCCTGGATCTGCTGGCGGTGGCAGCGTCGTGGAGAGACTGAATCCGGTCAGCTGTGCAAACCACATAGTTTCGGCCTTAGTCTAGAAATTGACCAGTTTCGGCCCAAGCGCCGCATCGACAATTGCCACCTGCGTAATGGCAATGAACTGCTTACGGTCGACCACGATTCTTCTTCCGAACTCCGTATTTCTTGGCCGGGGCCCAACGAGCGGATCAGTGCTAACTTTCGTCAAAGTTTCTCACATCAGGTGTGAAATCCTGCCATTTTCCTCAAGGTCCAATGAAAAAATTGGATGTAACGCCGACGAGGTAGTGTGGGGTTGTAATGTTGCGGTGCTCCAGGGTTGGAGACCGATAGCGCACAAGTAGAGTGATCGAAAGATGAAGATCACTTTGAAAAGAGAGGTAAAAAGCTCGTGAAACTTCAACTTATAGTTTATTCAGGATCAAAACCGATAGGTAGACAGATGATTTTCACTATAAACTAGGTTAGATAAGTTTGAGAAATGACTCGAATAGCCTTTACCAAGGTTCTTCAGCTCCCGCTGGGAATCTCAGCAGGCTTGACGTAGTGGTAAGCTGTTGTAACCAGCCATTTAGGACGAGCTGGACAAGCCTTCTGCCTGTGTACGGTAGACCATCAACCAAGTAGCTATATATCAGGCGAAGAAAGCCTCGCGGTGTGAGACGCCAGATCGATCTTGAACAAGAGAGAGTGTATTCAAATGAATAATGGGGATGGAGAGAGAAAGAAGAAGCAAATTGGAAATTGAGAAGGAACCAGTTGATATAGCTGACCAAAACATTGCAAACCTCGAACCTTCTCGCTAAGCTATCTAGCAAACAATCTATCTAATGGAGTAATGCAAACAGTAAGCGAGTAAGCAAACATGAAGCATCTGATAGCGATCTATCATAGATCGTGACACGCGAGACTAAGCTCCCATGATGAGATCGACGTCCTTGAATTTGTTAGTACACTGGCTAGAGAAAGTCTTACTTGGGTTAGCCATATTCCTATTTCGGTATGTATGGTTCCAACCCTAAGTTTAAACTGAGGTTGTTGTGGGGCTAGCACGTGATCATGGCTCATCGCGTCAGTCACATGACTGTTCGTATTCTGGGTGATCCCGTGGTCATGTGATCATACAGGGTCACCCCATACCACGTGACCGGCTGCCCCAACAATGCATCGCCTTCTAACGCGCTTTAAATGCTGGTGCCTTCAATTGACGTACGAATCGGCGGGGGGCTTCTATTTTTAGCTGCCGATCACCCAGTCCCGTGGCGCAGACTTCACTTCCATGGGCGAACTCTTGATATAACTCCGCACAACCACCTGGGTAATCTCTTGCTGCATTGTACACCCCAAAGGACAAAATGATCGATGAAAATTTACCCAGTACGTTGTAGGGACTAATTTCAGCCTCGTCTCTTGGTGCAGACTACGTCATCCCCTGCTAGCTTCACGATTTTCATACTGACCGCGGGACAGCGTTCTTCCTCAAGAACAACTCAAAACAACCTCAGATCAGCACAATATATCATAGTCAACATGGCAATGACCCCGAACCTGCTTACTCCTTGCACGCGCTTGACCCCACCGCCCCAACATCACAGAACCGTTATGGAGTTGCGCTGTACGACCCTTACGTGACAGGCATTGTCTATGGAGAGGTAGCTGTAGCTCCAGATTGGACTCAACCGAGTCTGTCGGCAGACGCAATACGAGCAAATGGCGGCGTAGTTCCGCCCCCAGAACCCATTCTCCCTACCGATTTTACCATCCAGCTTTACAACCCCGACCAAGAGATCAAAGTTCAATATCATACAAAATCGTGGAACAAACCAGCCCGGTGGGAATTTGAGATGCCTCAAACCACATTCCGAGTTCCTTCCGCCTCAGCGCTAGACCAGACTCAGATCGATCCGTCTATTGCTGACATTACTCCGAAATTGAGGTTCAGCTGGCGCAAGGATGGGAAGCTGTCGAAGGATTTGACATGCCTCTTACACGGCAAAACTTCAAGAATTCCCGACACTCGCTCAAAGAGCCGTGAGCCAGATATTACGGTCGCTCTATTTCAAGGGCTGAAGGAGCTAACTCTCTACGAGCCCAACCTCTACCGCGTCGAGATGGAAGATGCCAAGGGTTTGGAGGTCGTGCTCCTCTTAGCTGCCGTTGCAATTCGAGATATTTTCTTTGGGCCTGCCAAGGAGGCTTTCCATATCACCCCCGGTGGGCTGAACGAAGGTCACAAGCAAGCAGCAGTGCCAACTTCAATTACAGCGACGGCCACACCAGCTAGTGATCCCAGACTCGATCGGAAGAACCCACAGGCCCGACCCCCTGGGCCAACAATGAATGGAAAGCCATCGCCGCCTCGACTCAGCATTCCCAACTCCTCATCTCCGGCCCCACAAGAGAGAAGGCGACAGGACGAACTCGCAAAACAGGAAGAGGAGCGACGAACCCAGGAGGTTCTCGCCGCAGAAAAAAAGGCACGGCGTAAGCGGGAAGCAGAAGTCGAGAAGGAAACCAGACGGCTGCAGCAATTATACGGACAAGAAGAAGAACAAGCACGAAAGCAACGACATACTCCTGCCCCATCTTCCAGGCCCTACCCCCCACCCCGACATACCGGACCCCCTCAACCTTACTCGCACCAATACTCTCAATCCTCAGTCCAACTTAACTCCCAGCCAGTAGCCCGTCCATCCCATCATGCCAACCAACGATATTCCCATGGCGCACCCACCTTCGCCAACAGCCCATACCTCCAAGCACCGGGCCGCATGGATCCCCGAGCCCAATCATCCACCCACCTTATGCAGCGACCACAACAACCACACCCGCAACCCCGGCCACAGTCGACCGTTGCGTTTCACCAGCTTCCTACCAGTAGCGGCGCTCTCCTAACAGCATCAAGGCCGACACCTCAAGTCCAGCCGAGGAAGAGTTTCTTTGGGCTCCGACGCAACAAGGAGGAAACTACTAACAAGCTTGAAAAAAAGCGGAGTTCTATGTTTTAATCTTGTATACCCTGGCGTTTTCGTTTTTCCCGCATCATACTTTGCATCTCGGCGTGGTTGTATTTTGCCCATGAGTATCTCATTGTAGTTGCACAGCGATTACTTTCATTACAATGCATGGCATCTTTTGCTTTACAATCCATTCCAGACCTAGTAAATTGGCGATAGAGCTGTTGTAATCTCTTGGTGGTTCCCGAAGGACACGGCAGGCATGGAAGTCCATAGCAAAGCAGAATGCTTGGACTTATTTATGTCCGTGTGGGATATGACCATGTCCACCACCTATAGGATTATCCGAGAGGAAGGAGCACTGAATGAGTAGATTATCTGATCTACGTGCAATAATCCTACAGGCACCAAGGAAGCGTCGGAATCAAATGGCTATTCTAGTTTGAGTCTAGCTTGAGATCCGATACACAGACTGGTAAAGTAGCTTGGAATTATGGCCTAGCAGGAATCGGTTGTTGCCCTCAAGGTCTTCCACCTTTTGGTGCATCGACTCTCCCTCGTCAGTGAGATCGGCAATTGCTTCCTTTAGGCCCCTCAATCAGTGAGTTCTTAGTGTCACAAGAGCTCTGTACTCGAACTGCAATGCGTCGTCTCGCTTTTGCAATCTCTTGCCAGCCCTTAGGGAGCCGTTCCTCTCTTGCATAAACTTAGTGGCCCCATCGGTTTCGTTCGCTATTGATCTCTTTGATCTCTCGTTGAAGGTCGTGGGGGTGGTGGGACTATGGCAATTACAGCCGTAATGTGGGTAAAGATCGAGAGGAGGACGAAATCTTCTCTTGCGAGCTTAGCTGTTGTACCGGAAATGTAGTCGGGATATTCTTGGGAACGGGGGTTTTCGGGTTAATCAATCAGAGCCCTGTCGACTCTGACACGAAGTCTGAAGTGACCAGATGAGGCTTTGGAGTATTTCCTTTGTGCATACCAATCGCCCTGAGCGTCGGGTTTCTGGTTCGGAGGGGTGATTGGTTTCAGAAAGTCGAAGAAGCTTGAGACTCCGACTTCTAGAGCTGCAATTGTTTCTTCTTGCAACCTCCATTATTGCAAGACGGTTCTGTGTTGTAGCTCTCCACCAGCCTTTTTCCGGTCCATTTTCTGCACTCTTTTGGTTTCTTCTACCATCCGGCCGTCGAAGTCATCATCTGTTTTCTTGCTGGCCTTTTTTTGATGATCGGTGTATGCATATCTTCAAGGAGCTTCTTTCCTGAGCCACTCCCTTAGCAATGTGTGTTTTTGTGCTAGCTGTGTCTTCTTGTGGGTAGAGGCCTAGCCCTTGCTGCAAGCTTTGAATCAGCGAATAGTTCGGACATTATCACTGTTGAGGTTTGACGACGTAGGATAAAGTGAGAGAAAGGTCAAAGCAGGTAAGGAAGATATAGAATAATACATCTTGCATCACTCAAAGTGGCCATGATGGAAGAGCGGTATAGGCAGGTGCTTGACGACGTCAAGAGAGCTCACTGGGGGAAGAGGATATATGTAGAAAGGAAGCATCGGGGGAGTGATGAGAAGAGGGAAGGGGGTATTCATACCTTAGGATATATATACAGAGCAAGGGAGTCTCGGAAGAGAGAAGGACTTAAAGAGACTGCATATTTATTTGTCCCTCAGGAGATGTGAAGGGGAAGAACCGAGAGAGAGAAGTGGGAATATATCCGAGAGGAAGAAGATCTCGGGGAGAAAGAATGGACAGAGGGTAGAGTGGAAGGAGGTGTATATTTATAGCCAAACCTGAGAAGAGCTCGGAAGATAAGGGTAGGAAATTACCAGGAAAGAAGTGAGTTAAGGTGATATAAGTATATCGAGTTATATAGAAAGAGAAAGGCTCAGAAGTAACCAGCGATGACTAGGAGGTGTGGAGGGAGGGAGAATATGTATTTATACATTAGTAGAAGTGAAAGAAGAGAGGTCAAACTTCAAAGGAGAGAACAAGGAAAGAGAAGTACTACATACTAAGGAAGAGGGATTTAGACTCAGTAGTAGATGAAGCATTTTCTTAGTCGGGAAGTTCCCATCTTGGTACCCAATATCTAAGTGGGTATCTCGGGTGGCACTACTCCGTAGGTATGGGCTTATTGATGATAACCTACTCCGTACTATTGCGGCGAGTAATTCGGTGGATCAATGGATCACCAGTTAGGGCAACTGCGTCTGATCTGCCACTGTCTCGGTGTCTATAGATATGAAATGACGTCATCTTCAAGAAAGCCATTGCTCGGCGATCAATAAGGTCCCCGGTAAGTGGAGCTAGTCCTAACTCGGCCTCTTCGCTGATCCACCCGTGGCCTATGGCGGGCTTACTACGGAGTGTACGGAGTATGTACGGAGTGTGTACCTGCAGTCCCCTGTAGTCTGGGCCGGGCGTCTGGCTGATTACCGGAGTAAGAACTCGGTGTAAGAAATCATTCGCTGTCGGTCTTGCACTCGCCGAAATTCGGAGCTCGGGTCTATGCGGACAAGCCACAGGTGTGGCCGGCAACCAATAGGAGTGACGTGACGGGGCGCGGGAGTGCCACGTTCGCAAGCCACGTGCTGTCAATCATATTCTCAAACTCAATTGAGAAAGAGTTGCCCTTTCCCAGACCAATAATCGACAATCTCTTCCCCATGACTCTAACAGAATACAGGAAAGCCTCACATTCCCGGACGAAAGGGATCGGCGATGCTTGCAAGAAATTATCGTTGGCCCCGACGGATGAGAACTAGTGAGAACTGCGCCACATTTGCTCAGCCATTGCCGATGTGAGCTCATGATGCCATACTCCGTCCATGGTCTGACGATGTGGTTATGTGAAGGGCTGGTAGAGGCCTGCTACCTCTCGTGGTAGTCTGTATTCTGGATACAGCAGATACCTTGATTATAGCAAAACTACCCGCAGGCGAGGCTTCTCCGACGGAGTAGTTGGCCGACCATGAGTGGCAGTGCCGTTGGGAGAGTTTAATCGATCTGCAGGGATATTGTTCGCAATTTATAAATAGGGGCGGAATGTTGGGAATACCCTGCAGATCTATATTTTCTGGGAGTGAGATGCTGCAATATCCTGTAGTTCTGAGCAATTCTGAAAAGGGAGAAGAGATCAATTTACAGAGACCAGGAATAGGATGAATTGAAAGAGTCAATTGACTATCCAATTGACTAAAAATGTACTCTGTAGGTAAAAAAATGATGTATATAACATAGATCCGATCAGGACCTGAAACGGCTTTTCTTCCCCGCAGGCCCAACGTCCTAGGGCTAGCAGCCTGTCAATTTCCCCTCCTCGAATCAACTCTACTTGCTTTTACTCAGCTGTACTAAACCCGCGAAAAATGAAACGTAAACCACATCTTCCATCTGCCCCCGTGGTAATATCTTGTCATTGAGACCATTGAGACCATGGTGGGAGTTCCGCACAGTACAGGCTGTGCCCTGTGTCGCGAGCGACGGATCAAGGTCAATATCCCCCAAAGTAAGGTTCAAGGTCCTGGGCTAATAAGGTCCATAGTGCGACGAGGCAGTTCCAGAATGCACCCAGTGTCAGAAATATGGCCGGACCTGTCCGGGCTACAGGCGAACCTTTCGTTTTCAAGATGAAGGCCCCAACCTTGCGCGGCGACATCGGTCCAACACCCGACGGAAGGGGAGAAGCACATTGGCAGGACCCGCTACGTCTTCAACTCGAATTAACCAATTCTCTTCACGCGGAGACCCTTCTGCGACTGCAGAGATAGTACGCGGCAATGCGATTGCCCTCATGCGCCGACAATCCTCCTTGGGTGGCTGGGACGAACAATTGCTGGCGCGCAAGTCCTTCCGTGCCGCGCAGCCACAATTATTCCTCGACTTCATCAGCACGTCGTTTCCAACCTTTTATTTTCATAACCTGTTCCGGTCTGGCGACACGCCCGGGTTCGCCGAAAATCTCGTCATGAATTATGGCCAAGACGCGTACCTCGACTCCGCCGTTTGCTGCCTGAGCTCCGTCTATTTAGCACACTTGACTCAAGACAAGGCACTCCTCAAAATAAGTCGACAAATGTACTCCCAGTCGCTCAGGGAGGTTATGCGAGCCATCCCGAAAGCCGACCATGCAAACTCTGACAACATGCTCTGCACATCCATCGTCCTTAGTGTCTTCGAAATGTTCGCGCAGACCGCACCCGACGCCTGGGTCGTGCACTCGGAGAGCGCAAAGCGACTAATGATAAGTCGAGGCCCAGCAGCGCACGAGTCCGGGTTCGGAAGATACTGCTGGATAGCATTCCGCGGGTTCTTCATCGCGACGGCCGTCTACCAAGGCGAGCCCTGCTTCCTAGACCAAGAAGAATGGCAATCCTACGCGACGAAAGTCAGGACCGAAGACTGCCAGAAGCCCGGCGAATGGTCTGCATACGGAGAAGTATCCGACTTGATCTTCATGGAGATCGCCAAATGCCCGCGGTATATCAGCGAGACCCGGGATCTCCTCTCAGTCCCGTACGAGGCTGACTCCACATCCATCGCGAACCTCATCACGCGCATAAGTGATACTTCGCAGCGGCTGCGCTCGCTCGCCGCGGACCTCCGCTCATGTATCAGCGCGCACAGTGAGCGCCAGCAGGGTATCGTCCAGCGACCCGGATCCTTTGTGGGCCCCGTAGCAGAGAGCTTCCCGGACACCGCCCCGTCGCTGCTGCTCAATGGAGCGGAGAATATGCTAGAGACGCTAGAGCAGCTCTCCGACCGTCTTGGTGACCGGTTGTGCTTCAGTTCTGTCGAGGTTTATTCGCCCGAGTCGTCGGTCGTCACGCCGCCTAGCAGTGGTAGTGAATATTCTATATCCCCCTATTCTGCGACGTCGAGGAGTTTCGCTCTTCCCTTTCGCATCCATTCAGAGCTTGGACAGGGTCTTTCTAAAAGCTCTGATTCACATGATCACCGTGCTGTGAGTTGGTTGGATCGCATCGCGTCGTCGATGGGTGTCCTCGGCGCAAAGGTCCTCCCGGGTGATGATCCAAGTACTTCAGTGCGGGTGGACAGCTCACCTCAAGTGTTTGAACTGCAATAGTCAACGATGATGCTTGCGTTGACATGAAATGTGATACGAAAAGATACCTGCTCCTAGCCGGTCTAGGATGAACTTCCCCTACACAAATACGCTCTACTTTATATCCCCAATGTGAACAATGAAACTCAGGCATTCAATTTTGATCATATCGGCGTATATACGTATAGATATATCAGATGCAATCGCGTTCTAGTAAGAACCACTTTCTTACCACTAATAATCCAAAGACTGCTCCAGCAAGCCCCTCAGCTCACCTCTCTCAGCCTCCAACTCCCTACTCAGAGTCGGCGCGAGCATAAGCACCCGCTGCTGCGGAATAGTCCCATCAACCAATCCCTCCAAATCCGCAGCCTTGAAGCCTAGATCCTTCAATCCACGCGGCTGATCACCAAGCTTAACAAGGAACTCCGCAATCGCTTCGCCAAGCACCTCACCCGCACTCTCGCGCTTAACATTCGAGATATCCACACCAAACGCCTCAGCCGCGGCAAGATGGCGATCAGGGTTCGACGCCGCGGTAAAGCGGAAGACGGCGGGCGCGGTGACAGCCACCGAAACACCGTGCGGGATAATAGGGTGATCCACCTGATAGCCCGCATGTTTATAGCCAGGGTTCTGGCTGGAAATGGGGTAGCTCATACCGTGGCAGAGATGGACACCTGCATTTCCGAACCCCACGCCGGCGAGCGTAGCCGCGAGCAGCATCTCCGACTGTGCTTCGTGGTCATCCGGGTCGTGGACTGCGCGCGGTAGGTACTTGACTGTTGAGCGAAGGGCGGCGAGGGAGAAGATGTCGGAGATGGGGTTTGCGCCCTGGTAGGCGGGCCGGTTGATGGGGTTTGTTGGGCGTGGTGTGCGCTCGTTGTATGGGATTGCGGTCCAGGACTCGAGGGAGTGACAGAGGACATCGAGGCCGGAGGCGGCGTGCACGGCTGAGGGCATGGTCCGAGTGTTAAGTGGGTCGCATATTCCGAGGGTTGGCTTCAGGGCCCGGTGGGCAATACCCGTTTTGGCTTTCTTGGAGACTAGGTCGAAGATGGCTGTGCCTGTTGTCTCCGAGCCTGTGCCGGCTGTTGTTGGGACGGCGACGAGTGGGAGCAGGGGCCTGTCTACTGGCAGGCCTTTGCCCAATGGTGCGTTGACGAAGTCGAGGAAGTCTGCTTCAGGGAAGACGGTATATAGGTTCATCAGCTTCGCGGTATCGATTACAGAGCCGCCGCCTGTTTTCATGTTAGTTTGTGTACCAGGAGCCTAGGGGTTAAGGGAGACATACCGACGGCCAGGAAGGCATCAGGTTTATAGGGCTTAGCGAACGCGATAGCCTCTTTGATACTTAATTTGAAGACTCTTAGTACCTATACCACATCCACAATTGAAGCTAGGCATTGACTTACGAGCTATCCTTAGGCTCAGTGCGAACTTTGTCAAAGATAGTGAACTCAATGCCCTCACGGGTCAGACCCTCAACAGCCTGCTTCATAGCATCAAGCTTGGCCACATTGGAATCAGTGACGATGCACACCCGCTTCGCGCCGAGGTTGGTAAAGTCCATTCCGACCTCCTTAGTCGCGCCGGGTCCGAAGCGAATGCTAGACGCCGCCATCTCGAATGCATATTCCTTCTCACGCGAGGGGTCAATCGGCGTGGACATGCGGCGTTTCACATGGTTGAGCAGAGACGAGGTTTGCTTGTGGTTGTGGTGGTGGCTGGGGTTCTTGTGGCACGGGCAGTTAGGTGGGTGGGAGTATTGTACTGTGCGTAGCAAGTTTAGGGCACGATTGGCCGCTGAGGGAGCGACTCTGATTGCGGGAGAAACCATTCTGTGTAATTCTGTAGAATATAATCAGAAGAGAGTTTGGGAGAAGTCAAGCTGAAGTAAAAGGTCAAGCGACTCGGAAGAGAAAGGGCAAATTGGGGAAAATGCGGGGAAATGCCCCGGACTTCTGCCCGAGATCTTTTTTTTTGTTTTGCGCGCTCTCTCTTGACTCGCTGTTTACTCGCTATTTACTCCTCTATTCGGAGAATCTATTCATATCGGTCTGATATATTCTCTTTGGTTTCTCCGTTTTGGAGAAACTCGAATCCAGTGCATCTATATCCCATAGCCGAGGTTAGTTACACTCACCGATTATGACGTCTCCAACAGTATATATCCGTCTACGGATCCACGGGTGTGCACAATAAGAATGAGTATGTAATCAAACATAAAAAGTCAGATGATTCAATTGAGCAGCACTATCGTATACTAGCTCTCATATCCACCAACTATAACAATCCCCCAATCTCATACCCAAATTAAACCCTCAACCTCTCAGCAAAGCGACAAGATCAAATCGGTCGAAGAATCAACAGCCCTAACCTGACTTCCAGCAGGCGGAACCCCATCCTCCCAAGAAATCAACGGCTCGGAAGGCTTAACATTCACTGGGTAACCCGCAAATGGATCGCCAAAGACATCAGAGAGATCATACCAGACTTTATCCTGTCTCTGGCCTCGCTCCCTTGTAGAGGAAAGGTTGTACGCAAAGATCATCTGCGGAGAACTGGTATACAGCCCGTCGCGGTCGGTGCTGATCTTGATTGCGATGCCGCCAGTGTCTGCATTCTCGCGGAAAACCTCGCTGTACTCGTCGTTCGGGAGGAGAGTTCGCTCCGGTAGGACTGTGGAAGCCACAGACCAGAGGTAGACTGGGAACTTGCAGTTGTTGTGCACTATCGCATGGCCTAGGTTTCGGTGGGTGGGTGGTGGTGTGCTGCTTGGTCTCACTGAGACGAAGCTTGAGGAGGGGAAGGCACCGTAGGGGATATCTCTCTGGCCATGGTTGTTGTGGATTGTTGGGTTCGAGAGGGCGAGGCTGGCGAGCGAAAGGAGGGGGATGATAGTTGAGAAATACATATTGATTGATTATAGAGCTGTTGGGGTACTCTTTAGTTATGTCTTGCGTTAGAATCAGGAATTTGGACGGCTTTATATAGAATCATTCTTGTTGCTGTGTTTCACCGCGAACCTAGTTGGATCTAATTCTTGGCGGCAAGATGCATATAGGCAGTTGCTATGAATCTAGGCTCAGGGGAAATTAGATGCCAAGCTATGCTGTACACCGTAGATGTGGCGCGAAATGTAGGGGTGTGAAACTACCACAATGTAGTAGCCGAAAAGACACATCTGTTTGTCCAACAGAAACATATGAAGAATGTCACCGTTTCCCCATTTAGTGCGCATGTTGACTTTGTATCCCCGGAGAAAGATCGGAACTCGAGGAATGTACAGGCCTTTAATTTTATATTATATGTCGACAGGGCGAGAAGAATCAACAAATGGGATATTCTACTCATGTCTGATCGAAGATATGGAAGAATGTGACTGGTCTACTGGCTCCGGGTATATTACCAAAGAGAATGAGATCAAATCCGTATACAAAGACTATATCGAGGGATTATGCTTTTTCAAGGACCTTTATAGTGAGTTACACCCGTGGACGGCATGACAAACTCGCGTTAAGCAGGCTGATGCAACTATCTGAAAGTCTACTCTTGATCAAAATAGGGAATCAAACATCAAAATACAAGACCCCGTGGCTAGGGCAACTGTGGCGTTCTAGACATTCATTTCTCCTGAGGAATGTGAGCTTTCTATAGGGGAGGCCACGGAAAATTCTTTTGGGTTTGAAACTACCGAGGAATGTCAGATAGAATAGACTTCAGAACACCCTGCCAGAGAACACGAATTCAAGGAACAAAACAAACTCAGGGTAGTTCATGTGGCACGCCAAACGGTCGGTCACTCATTTGTGATATCCCCGACGTCATGTCCGATGTCCCTTATAAGCATCGTGAGACAGACCTAACGTTCTGTGTGGCATACACAAATTGATAGATGTGACAACATACTCTGATTCAGGTCGGATGCATATCGCTATTGGGTGTTTCCGCAGCCCTGTGGTTCAGCTAGAAAGCTTAAGGAATGACATGGCTGAATGAGATCTAAATCTAAACAAATATCGACACCGTAGATGCGTGACAGGCTTCCTGTTCTTCCAATTGGCTGAGATCAAGACGTGCCAAGAAAAAAATTGTATTCAAATATGTGTGACAAAACATCTCTCCAGAAGAAAAATAGGTAGGGCAAGGATAATTTGCCATCAGAATGAATCGCGGACCCGCTTATAACCTAAGTCATGTGGCCATGAGACCCTGGTATTGTAAGCCATGGTTGGTGGTGGTTATGGAGTAGTAGGCATTATAGGGGACATCCCGGATACCGACATCCTTTCCGAGACCTTGGTGGGAAATGGTCGACCGGGGTCATGCTGGGTGACGTTCTTAGCGGTGCAAATGAGAGTGTTGCAAGAAGCATTCTAAGTATTATGGAGCATGAGTCCTTGCTTGAGCTGTCCGGAGTGACAAAGTCAGTTGGAAATTTCTGTGACCACAGTGAAGACTTGAGTTTGAATGATCAGCGTAACGATCAAGAGCCGTAGGTAAATAGCAAGATCTGGAAATCTTCCTAGTGTTGAGCGTTGCGAATCTTCTCATACTCAGGCAGAGCCCACTTCACCATCCATTCAGATTCCAGATTCTGCTGAGCAGATGGTCTATTCTCCGGCCTGAAGGATAGCATCGGGCGCGATATTGAGAAAAGAGCATCTCGTTCGTTCGGTTCAAAAGAAGGCATACCCTCCCTTATTCGCGCTTGCTGCACGCTCGTTTCAAAGTTATCCTCCCATGAGGGATATTGGGATTGGGGTCGGTCTACTGGTTCTCCATCCTTGAGGGATTTTTCTCGATGTGCTTTCCACGTTTACAGTCATTCGTTTGGTAGCGGACCCAACATATCGATTTGCTGGCGAGTCATATCATCTTCGTCCGTAAAAAAGCCTTCAAATAGCGATCTTTGGGCAATGATCTCCCAGATAGTGCATGCAAGTGTCCAGATGTCGGACGAAAAGGTAAGTGGCTTAGTTATCTCAAAGTAAGTCTCCGGGGGTCGGTAATATTCCATTCTTTCCACACCTTCAATGGGCTCATACAAGACATGGCTTGTATTCACGGTTGAATCGGTCAATTTGAACGTAGTGAGAGAAAGTGCACGGTGTTGAGGATGAAGATATAGCAGGCTCGCCTTTTTAGGAATGAGACGATGTGAGAAAGACGTAAACGAATGTAGGGGCCTAAAGAGCAAACAGGACTTTCTCATAATTTTCGTATCGCGATCAAGGCCATTTGATATTGAATCGAATTTAGTGCATTTTCTAGCTTATTCGCCTTGTCTGTCCACTTGGTACGACATACAAAGGAGGTGAAGAGGTGATGTTGGGTCTGGGGTGACTTTCTTCCGGCCCTGATCCCAATAACGTCCGTGCGTCTGGCACGGTACTCAGACACGTCTGTCTATGTCTCGCTGGACAGTAAATACTAAAACTGATACTACTACACACTATATCTCATGTCTCATCTACTAGCTTTTCAGACTCAAACAAAATAGTTATCTCTTGACGTTGCAACTTATTTGCCCACTAAACGCATGCAAACCCCAACAACTACCCCTATGATGGCTCCAACAACAAGCCCTACAGCTATCCACACGATGTAATACTTGATCACTCGTCGCTTAGAGCCGCTATGCCACTCTGCCATCACATCTTTCATAGTTACAATGGGTCGTTTTCCACGGAAATCACGGGGCTCCTGCAGATCCATGGAATGTATTGGATGTGTGCTCGTGTGAGCTTGCTCGGGTATCGTTGGTGTCATGATGTCAAGGCTGTGGTAATTTGGTCTTGACCGTAAACCTCAATCTTATTGATAGTCAATAAATATTTTTAGAGGCCTCAGCAATTTGCTTTCGATTGAAACTGACATGTTTTCTTCGCGAAATTTGGTGTCGTCTGTTTGGACGCGTGCCGGAATAGCGGAGGATAAGCGATCGGAAAAGTCCCTTAGAACGAACCCCGTAATTTGTAGCCTCTAGATGGAATGAATCACAACTTTTTAGTCTAATCATAGTCATAGATCTTGCATCTTTACGTACCTTGCTGACTTGATTCAAACGTTGAACTACTTAGACCAACGTGTTGCAGGAGGGGGTTGGGGGGAGAAGAAACTGTTAGACTCCGTAATCACCCCAATTTATGATTTATATGCTGTAGTAATTCATGAGACCCTTGAATAGCTAAACGAGTTAGGCGGCTAATGCTAAATTAACCGGGACCCTTGTAAACTTTAAAAAGGATCGACACGGCAATTGGTTCGATCGAGACGTGGGGGCCGGGAAGTGGATCCTCTCCACAGCGGGAACCCGGGTGATGCCCAATGGAATTCATGGGGCCAAGTCGGTTATTAAAATGAGATTTTCTTCGCCTACTCATAATTTGTAACACACCAGGCAGAAACCCCTTTCAACTACGTACTTCAGAGAGGGTCAAAAAAGAATTTCCATCTCCTCACTTGATATCTCATCGCCGGTTACCTCGTCGTATCACAAAGCTACTTGGCTAGTGGACCTATAAGCTAATGTCGCATGGTCGACTCAGTCGGGACACAGATAACCCTTGCATATGGTCAAGCCAAGATTAGCTGCTAGTCATTTTCAATCTCCGATTTACTCTGAGAATATCCATTTACGCGACGCGACCATGGATTGGTTGACAAAGTTGTTCACGGGAAAGGACTCGGCGAAAACAGAACAAAAAGCGCAAAAGCGGAGGAGCAAAGTACACAGCCGAAGGGTTCGTGCACAGGAAAAGGAGCTCCGACGTGGGAAGGATAAGGGTACTGTCAAAAAGGCGAGCTTTTTCTGGGGATCGCCAGGTCAGACATACCAGAGTAATGTTCGTGGTCCGGGTGAAGGAATTTGAATGGGTTCGGAGACAAATCTGCGAATAAATGAGGCGAGATAAAGAAGCTTCGACTTCGTGGCTGCTGAATTCGTTAATGGAAATTTCTATCTGTCTGTTGGACTTGGCTAGATAATGCCTAGATGTGTCTGATGGATTCATTGACATGGACGTAGTATTATTGAGAAGGGAATGAGAAATCAACAGCGGAAATTGGGACTCAGTCTTGGCGTTTATTGGCCTTAGGCCGTTATATGTATGCCTTAACATTTCCCGTGACCACAACAACATCTTCCCAGTTCAACCTACTCTATACTCTTGAGGGTGTGATGTTAGATTAATATCACTCGATTTTATTTCTAATGGGGTTAGACAAAGCCAGCTATGCTTGGTGCAAAGTCTTCTAAGTGAGAGACATCGAAATACATGGTTTTGTGGGAATGAGTTGAAGCTAATAAACTACAGGGTTTCAGAATTTGAAGCATTCATTTACTCATTTCACTTGTGCTTTCCTGCCTTTGAGATCTGAGTTTAGTATTTCAATATGTCGACGGTCTTACCACATCTCGTCGGCTCTGTAGACGTCCAAGCGCATCCCCTCCGTCCATGTCAAATTTGCTGAAGAACAACTTCGTGGTATCATGTTCCCAGTCATGACTATGTGAAGTGTCGGGCTAGCTTGGAATTTACCGATAAGCATCACAGCGAGCGGACATGCTCCACTATTCTGTTGTAAATCGGCGATAACGGACAATTGTTCTAGCTCTTGATGATGCAGGTACTCATCTGGTGGCACCCGGCGAATTCATAACCGATGTTTGTATCAATCCTCTGATGAAGAAGAATAACGCCTCCCGCTATCCCCCGTATCGGTCGCCTCAAGTTCTGATTCCTTTATCATGCACCTCATCTCTTTTGCCCTCGGAATTTGGGTCGTAACTCGGAAACTGCAGCTCGGATTTAGGAGTATTGGACTTACTGGCCATCTGGCAATGGTCAGACTGTGTGGCAATCGGTAGACAGTCTGAAAATTCCACTCCAATTGGCTACGGAGATTTCAGTTGCAATCTCGCATTTACAGACTACAAGAGCTCCAGGTGTTCTTGTAAGGGTAACAAATGTTACGATCATGAGAGATCGGTGGGTCTCTCTTGCCTGCGTGGGAAGGAGAACGCTCCTTCCTATTAGGTACATTTGTCACTTTCCTTTCTTCTCTTGTTTGTTCTTTCCTTTCCAAGGTTGTTTACACTTTAGCTAAGCGAGACGTTCGACTTTTGCATCGTTTGCATTAGGGCCAGGTATATAAACAGGCTGATTCCCACTTCTGCACTTACTTCTTCCCTCTCTCTTCATCATTTTGAATCAACCACATCACAGCGCAATCCATCCAACTTGCCTGCCACCTGTCGTGTCCATCATCCATCACATGACTTGTTTGTTCTTACTATCCTTTTTTTCCTCATAACTTACATTCATCCTTCAGACAACCCAGCCATATCACAAGCATCTATTCAAGGCACCTATCATGTTCATCATCCATCAAACATCTCAGCCACATCATAGTGCATCCCGTCAACGTGCCTGGCATCTATTGAGCTCATCATTCATCACATGACTTGTCTGTTCTTACTACCTCTTTTTTATCGTCTACTTACATTCATCCTTCAGGCATCCCAACCACATCGCAAGCATCCATTCATGGCATCTGTCATGTTCTTCATCTATCAAATAACTCAGCCATATCACAGTGCATCCCTTCAACGTGCCTGCCATTATCGTGTTCATTGTCTATCATTTGACTTGTAAGTTCTTGCTGTCTCTTCTTTTCATATACTTACATTCATCCTTTAGATAACCCAACCATATCGCAAACATCCCTTCATGACATCTGTCGTATTCATCATCCTTCACACAACCAAACCACATTCTCCTTCCATCTTCCATCTTCCACTTTATGAGGTTTGTTTCTTATCTGTGTTATCGCCTATTCTTCATCTTCCCTCATCGCATTCTATGACTTGGTTAACACCTGATGACACGGGGCTAACTGTACTAGATACCACATCCACTGAATCACATCCAGCCTTACCGTGACAGGTTTCGGCTTCTCGACAATCGTCAGGCTGCAAGAACAGCAAACACAAACAAAAGAAAAAAGAAAAACAAAAACAAAACAAAAAGAAAAACAAAAGAAAACAAACACAAAAGAAAATACCTTGGACAATTTCAATCAACAACGTTCAAACAGCCACTTCAAGCATCCCCTTCAAGCATCCCCTTCAAACAACCATCCCCTTCAGCATCAACTTCAAACAACATTCAATCAAGCATCCCCTTCAAACAACATTCAATCAAGCCCCTTCAAGCATCTCCTTCAACCAACATTCAATCAACCATCCCCTTCAGCATCAACTTCAATCAGCCATCAAACAACCATGCACATTCAATCAGCCATCAAACAACCATGCACATTCAATCAACTATCCACATTCGACTACTATAATGCTTCGACCTTAAAGAGGAGGAATGAAAAGAAACGGTCTTGGTCGACAGAGTCTCCGCAGGAGTGTCTCTGAAGGAGACTTCTCGTCGGGAAGAGGTTACAGCGTGTACCCATTTAAAGGAGACTCTCAAGACCGTTTGCTGTGGTGGTAAAAAAAAAATGGTCGCCTCGACAAAGCATCGACATCCAAGCATCGACATCCAAGAACCACATCCAAGAACCACATCCAAGAACCACATCCAAGAACCACATCCAAGAACCACATCCAAGAACCACATCAATCAATCTTCAATCAATCTTCAATCAAGCATCCACACTTATTCAACCACTTGCACTGAGAAATGATAATCTAAAATTCTACACGTCTCCAACCTAGAGCTTTTTCCAAGCTGATATAATCCCTGGTTATACATAGAAAATCTGTTTGCACGGTTTATGCTCTTTACCACCTTCGTATATTGTCGAGTATTCTAGCTACAACACCGAGAAGGTCTAAAAATAGATATCTAATAGCGTAGACTCCCACTAGAGGACCTGGGGAACTGCGCGTATGGTGGATGAACCTGTAGAGCGAGCAGAGACTGATATTCTATTTCTAGATAAATTCATCAAAAGAATAGACGTGAATACCTTAGTGACTGGTCAAGGCATGTTAGAGACAAAGAAGCAGTGTTCTGCTCATATTCTTCTCCTCAAACATGGCATGCGTGTTTCAGATATTTCTTTGACCTATGAATCGGTCTTTGGCCTTGATACCAAAGACGAACGCACAACAAAGACCATCTCGTCTAGTTCGAATCCCCATAAACGCCACCTCCGGTTCTCTGCAAACACGGGCACTCTGCTCATCGAGAGGACCTCCAGTCTTCAGGACAATACAAAATGACCTAGCAAGAAATATGCTTAAAACCAAGGTGACATCGACATCCAAAGATGTTGCGTAGTCCTACCCCTGTATAGTCAACGACCTTGGACCATATACTATGTAGTGGCGTCGCAAATTACTTTTTAGGAATTGAATCAGCCAAATAAGACAAGGATAGAGATAATTTATGTGCTGACGTGAATTGCAAATTACATAACTCCTTCCATCTTCTTCATCTCTTTTTGTGATGCCTTGCATTTCGTCTCTTTCCTCGACATCTCTCAGTCGCAAACTCCCCACCCAATCCGACTCTTGTTTACTCTCCACACCACTCCCCAGTAACACACGAATTGACATGAATACAGCCCACGATGGCTACCGATCAAATTTCCAAGCCTACCGAGCCCGATGCCCTGATCCTCGAAGCTTGGGGCCAGGGTCTGATGGTTGGAAGTCTACTCATTATGGCCGCTATCACTCTTGCCAATATGAGGTCGCATATTCTCCTGCACAAGCTGATCCTCGCCGAGGTACGGTGGAAGCGAAAAGACTAACTCTGTAAGTTATGTTCTCAACAGGACTTGGCTGATTATCGGATCGATAATAGCTTGTCCTAGCTATGGCTCATGGTACTTTCATCTTCCCCAACGAGCCGGTCTACGGCTGGTATCTATCTGTGACCGCGGTCGGTCTCAACATCTCCTGGGCTCTGCATAATGTTATCGCCTGGATGAAGAACCGTCCATTCCTGTCGCGAAAGGTCTCAATCATCTACATTACCACTGTTGTTCTCTGCTGGCCTTATTGGGGTCTGGAGATCTATGCCAACTTCACATACTTCAACAATATCAACAAGGTCTTCTTGAAGACCAGACCAATGGAGCCATTATTTCGGTTGGTCATTTCAATTCCTCGCAAATATCGAATGCAGCTGCTTCATAACTGAGTCCTCCACTCTAACATGATCTACCAACAGCGATCCGTGGTGGATCTTCACAACAGCCAGTCTATTCTGGACTATCAAGCGCGAATACAACTTCGGAATATGGGAGCTAATAGTAGTCAGCCCCCGCTTCGGACTCATGCTGGTAGCCATGTGTCTGTCGATTATTTTCATAATCGTTGATACCTGCAGCGTGTTGAAAGTCTTCTCCAGCATACTCCCAACAGGCGTCGAGCCGTTCTGGAAAGTAAGATCCCATCGTCCGATCTTCCTTTGTCACACCACCCTAACCATCCCAGCTATCTTTTATCTTCAAATGTCTCTGCGACACGGTCATCCTCGACGACTTCAAGACTGCCCTCGATAACTTGCGCGTTCACTGGATGCGCAAGAAGAACAGCCAGTTGTTCGGTAGCCCGCTGTCCACCCCGACCTCTACTCCAGACTCTAGCCCTCGTGCGGATAGAATACGCAGGGATATTGAGACTTGCGATTCACCTACGACCCCTACAACCCCTACCCCTACGAAGAGACCTTACACCCGTGCGGTGGATGTTCCTGCGCGGAGGGTGCGTGACGATGAGGTTGTTTTCTATTAGCCGGACCCTTCGGCTTCAAATTGTGCGTTGAGAATGGTGTTCGGGGCTTTTAGTCTGGTTTCTTGACCTCGGCGGTTCTGAGGTTGTTACGACATACCCGGACGGATAGACTGAAGTTATTGCGATTTTACATCGATTTGCCTGAGGAGAGCGATTTATTTCAAAAGAAAAAAAAAAGGAGAAGCCTCGGGGTCAGATAGTTAATGAAACATACAAATCGTCTGCTTTTCTATTAGTAGACATTCTGCCATAGGTGAGATCTGCAATACATAAACCGGAGAATTGATTCGGAGAATTAGCATGTCTTCATGCAGTGTCACATCTATAAGTTCTTTTCCTGGTCTGACTAGTTACCAATTATGACCAATGATAAACGGTGCTTACGCTTTAGCGTACTCTATTATCCGAGAATGTCTCTGCTTAAAGGTTGGATGGAGGTTGTATACACATCATTGACCACTTATATCTGGTATTTTATCTGGATTGGAGAACAAGCTGGCAATGCAGAAATTTACACACTCGAGGATAGTACATCCCACGCATCACTCGGAGAATTGACGGATTCAGATGACACGACATCCCACGCATCCTCAGTACTACAATTCGGACTCGAGTCTCGAATATAAATATAGCCATTTCGCCCGTATAATACCCAGACTCCAATCTCTTACTCCATACTCCATCCAATATCCCCTTTGCAACTTAACATCCAAGTAATAATGGACTCCCTCAACATTCCACAGACCCAAACAGTCGCTCTCGTCCGTTCACTGGGTGGGCAAGTCGAATTCAAAACAGACTACCCCGTGCCAATCCCGGGACGCAACGAAGTCCTCGCCAAAGTGCTCTACACTGGCGTCTGCCAGAGTGGTATGTATAGTGTCATGTAACCCAACCGACATCTAACGGGATGTTCTCTCAACAAGACCTTCCTAACAAACCAACAGATCTACACACCAAATCCGGTACCGCGGCAGGACCAGACGGCAACCCGATAACAAATATCAAGCTGCCACACGTGGGCGGCCACGAAGGCATCGGCCGAGTGGTCGCGCTTGGACCGGATATCACGCACGCCGCGGGTCTGAAAGTTGGCGGGCTGGTCGGGATCAGGTTCGCGAGCCGCATCTGTCGGCGGTGCGAGTTCTGTCTTGCGGGTACGGAGCAGTACTGCGTTGAGAGTACAAACCATCTTCACCACGAGGATGGCTCTTTCCAGCAGTACATCGCTCTCGATGCGGATTACTTGACGATTCTGCCTGATGATGTTGATCCGAAGGTCATGGGACCGGTGCTTTGTGCGGGTTTGACGGCTTATAAGGTGGGTTGGGGATTTTGCTTTCGTGGTCTGGGGTTAATTTGTGGTTGATTAGGCCGTCTTGAACGCGAATGTTCGTCCTGGGAATTGGTTAGTGGTCGTTGGAGCTGGAGGTGGCCTTGGGCATTTGGCTGGTATGTGTTCTTTTTTGTGGTACTCTGAAGATACGTTGCAATCCACTGACATTCTCCAGTTCAATATGCAAGAGCTCAAGGGGCTTTGGTAATTGGCGTCGACACTGGTCCTGGTAAGGAAGACTTTGTCAAAGGTCTCGGCGCGCAGGAATTTATCGACTTTGCCACCGAAGACCCTGTAAAGAGGGTGCAACAGATTACTGGGTTGGGTGCACATGCTGCTGTGGTGACAGCAGGTAATGCAAAGGCGTTTGCATATGCCTGTGATATGCTCCGGGTTGGCGGTACTTTGAGTTGTGTTGGTATTCCCCCGGGAAGACCGAGCTTGGAGACTCCTATCTGCACGATTGTGATCAAGGGCCTCAAGATCACGGGTAATCTGGTGGGATCGCTGAAGGAATGTATGGAGGCTGTTGATATGGTACGGCGTGGTATTGTTAAACCTGTGGTCAAAGTCCGACCGTTCAAGGATTTGCCTGAGGTATATGAGGAGATGAGGAAGGGTGATATTTCAGGGCGCATCGTTCTTCAAATTGCAGAATGATCCCGCGAAAACTTTATTGAAATTCAGATTATCTGAGAATTCTGTTGTTGAAGCCAATCCAAAAAATCCGATGTCAAGTTCCTTTCATCGGGCTCGCTGTTTGGTGTGTATCCTGGAATCTGAGCCTGACCACCAGGTCCATTTTCGCCCGAGTGAAGGCCAGAATCTTCCTCCCCGATTGTCAACAGGCGAGCTGGAGCTGCAACTAGAGCTTCAGCGGTTTTAGCACGAAGGATTGACTTCAACATGGTATCCTGCTCGAGAAAGGGATCAATCTTCTGGTATAATGCATGTAAAAAGTCCTGTGGTCCTAGTTCAAGCCGAGAACTTATTTTGTGTGAAGACAAAAGAACCGTATCCGCCAGGGAGTTGGCAACTTCAAAGCACTTCAATAACTGTAACGAGCCATTAGCCATGGCTTGTGTTTCTGTATATCAAGGCTACTAGCCTGGTCTCGTCCCAATGGTAGCAAATCCGTCTCGCTGAAACCCCGCAAGGCCTGGAGTAAGGCGCGGCCAACTTGCGCTGGAAATCCAAATGCCAAGACGGGTTCGCACGCTGAAGAAGATAGCAAGTTCATGTTGAGTGCCTCCTGCCAGAGAATAGTCCTCATCCACTCCCGTGTAATGTGGTAGTCTGCCGTTCGGGTCGAGACATGATTGGCCATGCTGAAGCATAGTGAGGCAACCTTGACCTCGGTGTTGGTCAGATGTGTAGCCATGATGATCCCAGGACGCGAGTTGCGCCGTACTGAGATCTGGTCAAACGCAATAAAGAGCTTGACGAGTTCTAGCAACCCTTGGGCATGAACATCAGCATTCATATCCCCCTCCAAATGTATCAATACAGGGGGGTCAATATAAGACGGAGAGAGACCCAGGTGCAATGAATAACCTCTGTGATAGTTAGTAATTTACTCTGCGAAATTGAATTCTCTAGCCTACCTCTCCGATACCCAAAGCAGCGGAAATACCAAGGCCTGGTTTGAAATCACCTCATCTTCCTCGTGTAAAATATCCTCATTCAATCGCAGAATACGAGCTCCGGTCATGGCCTCCTGGATGAACATCATTGACGAATTTCGTTGGTTGACCTTGGCGTGGTACACATGCAAAAAGAAAGACACCAGAACGCTTCTGAGATCCAGATTTGCTCCATGGCTGTCGCAACTTGTACGCATTCGCAAGCAAGCCTGGGCCATTAGCGTGCTATCTACTTTCTGAGATCCATATACCGAGGGATCAAGATGCAACTGAGCCATCGTCGCGGCACAGAGGGCCATGATGAGACAGGAAGTGTTCCCAGCATTGGAGTCAACTTTCTCTGGGTATATATCCTCTACTCTTCTCAAAAGAGCTTCTGCGTTGACTACAGGCCAGACGCTGTATGAATATTGCTGGTACAGACGGATCACCGACGCAAAGACTGTCTTTGGGATGCAATGGAGGCTGCAGGCTGTGGCGGATGAAGAGATGGTATCATTGCTACCGTTTTGTATGTATGTATCTTCTTCAACATTCTGCTGAATCTCTGTGGATTGAATCTCCGGAAGGTCGGTCTCTCGATGGCATACTCTGCGAGATTTCGGGCCCCTCCTGTGGGCAGGCCTCAGGTACGTACAGCGCACCCGCTTTGCTGCACCGCGGCAGGTATCGCAGGGCCATGAACCGCTGCATTTCACTTTGCGGGAGATACAGATATCGCAGGCTCGTTTGGGTGGCATAAGGAGCTGGATTTGGAAGTGTCATGAAGAAAGATGTCACCTTGCCAAGCGTCCAAACCATATGTACAATGCGGGGAAACATTGGATCTTTTCGGCACCTTTGCCGGTATCTGCTCTCGGAATTAGTTTTTATTATGGCCTAGTGGTAAAATACCAGTTCATAGGTGGGCTCGGCCACCCCTGAGCCCACCTGCCTTCTGGTAAATTACGCTGCACGGATTTCGTCAGGGTCTTTTATGTTGGAGAGGTTACGTGACGGCGTATTGGGAGCGCTAAACCCAAAATGGCAAGACTGACCTGATACAGTAATTCACAGGTCCGTCGTTTAGTTACAAAGTAGAAATAGCCTTTGCTCCCCCGAATTACCCTCTGTCCTCAAACTTTTCTTCATTTACACACATACTCCGTACCTAAGTACCAAATCAAACCTCCAACCACATCAATCATGGCTCTTTCCGCACCCAGCACAGACGTGAGTCTCCCATGCTATGCTCCCAACAAGCCCCAGACCGAAACCTAATCAAGAAACAGCCGCAAGTCCTCATCACCCAAGAATCAAGCGCGGAACAAATCTTCCACAGCTTCACAGCAGAAACCGCTTGGCAGCTTGGAAATGCACTAAGGGACCGAATCCTCCGCCTCCCGGACGGACAGCGCCAGCCGGCCCTGATCTCCATTACGCTCACCGGCGGAGCCCCGCACCATGTGGTGTTTCAGGCTGTGACCGAGAGCGGCACGATCCCGGACAATGAGAACTGGGTGCGACGGAAGCGCAATACTGTGCTCCGGTGGGGTCTTTCGAGCTGGACTATGAGACAGAAGACTGTTAGTGGGCTTGCGGCTAATGCGTCCGCCGACCAGATTGAGGCTGCTTTTGTGAAGAAATATGCCGTTCCAAGTGCTACTGGGGGTGCTGTTGCAGATGAGTATGCTATCCATGGAGGTGGCTACCCGATTCGCGTGCGTGGCGTTGATGGCGTTATTGGTGTCGTTGTCGTTAGTGGGCTGAAGCAGGAGGATGACCATCAGGTTGTGGCTGAGACTATTCAGGCGTTCGTGGCTCAGCAAGCAAAATAGATGTCGAGGTATGCCGGTACACGATGTATTTCAATCAAATAAATTTATATAAGCCTGTTAATAGGCACTATCTATAATAAAAGAATGCGAGGTATCATTTGTATTGTATTCTTAGCCGGCATTAATCAACCAGGCCTAAAAGTTGGAGACAGTGCCCCGTGTAAATTCGAACACAAAAAGGGGACTCAAGCAAAAGAAAAAAAAGTGGAACTCCATGAATAATGCCTCAAAGATAATTTTACAGTTCGTCGTGGTCAAGGGGCTCGTCATCCTCATCAGGAGGAGAAGCAGAGCCGTACAGCTTGCTGGTGATGGGGTAAGCCACACTGGAAAGCTGCTCCTTCTGCTCCTCAAAGTCCTCCATGGTAGCGGTGGCAGCGTTGTCCTCGAGCCAGTCGTTGACTTCCTTAACGGCGTCGAGGATGGACTGCTTGTCATCCTCATCGATCTGGCCACCCAGACCGTTCTCATCGTTGACCTGGTTCTTCAGGCTGAAGGCATAGTTCTCCAGGCTGTTACGGGCCTCGATCTTGCCCTTGATGGCCTTATCCTCCTCGGCATACTGCTCGGCCTCCTGGACCATGCGGTCGATCTCCTCCTGGGAGAGACGACCCTTGTCGTTGGTGATAGTGATAGACTCGGCCTTGCCGGTGCCCTTGTCGGAAGCGCTGACCTTGAGGATTCCATTGGCATCGAGGTCGAAGGCGACCTCGATCTGAGGAACACCACGCGGCGCGGGGGGGATGTTGGTAAGCTCGAACTTGCCGAGCATGTTGTTATCCTTGGTCATCGAGCGCTCACCCTCGAACACCTGGATCAAGACAGTGGGCTGGTTATCGGCGGCAGTCGAGAAGATCTGCGACTTGCGGGTAGGAATGACAGTGTTGCGGGGAATGAGCTTGGTCATGACACCGCCAGTGGTCTCAATACCGAGAGTGAGGGGGTTGACATCCATGAGAACAACATCGACCATGGAGTCATCGCCGGAAAGAATACCACCCTGGACGGCGGCACCGAAGGCAACGGCCTCATCGGGGTTGATTCCCTTGCTGGCCTTCTTACCAGCGAAGAACTCCTCGAGAAGAGCCTGGACCTTAGGAATACGGGTAGAACCACCAACAAGAACGATGTCATCAACCTCGGACTTCTTAACCTTGGCATCCTTCAGAACCTGCTCAACAGGCTTGAGGGTCTTCTTGAACAGATCAACGTTAAGCTCCTCGAACTTAGCGCGGGTAAGAGTCTCAGAGAAATCCTCGCCGTTGTGGAAGGCCTCAATTTCAATGCGAGTGGACATCTGGGAAGACAGAGTACGCTTGGCCTTCTCAACCTCGCGCTTCAGCTTACCCATAGCCTTAAGATCCTTCTTGACATCGGTGTTGTTCTTCTTGTTGTACTGCTTGACGAAGTACTCCATGACACGGTGGTCGAAATCCTCACCACCAAGGTGAGTGTCACCAGCGGTAGCGAGAACCTCGAAAACGCCGTTGTCAATAGAAAGAAGAGACACATCGAAGGTACCACCACCAAGATCGTAAACAATGACCTGGCGCTCATCACCGGTCTTATCAAGACCGTAGGCGATAGCGGCGGCGGTGGGCTCGTTGACAACACGAAGGACGTTGAGACCGGCAATGGTACCGGCATCCTTGGTGGCCTGACGCTGGGCGTCGCTGAAGTATGCGGGGACGGTAACAACGGCGTGGGTGACAGTCTTACCCAAGAAGCTCTCGGCGATCTCCTTCATCTTGCCGAGGATCATGGCGGAAATCTCCTCAGGGGTGAAGGTCTTGGGGACCTGGTTGACGTCGACCTTGACTTGGGGCTTGCCATCCTTCTTGACGACCTTGAAGGGGTAGTTCTTGATATCCTTCTGAATATCCTTGTCGTCAAACTTGCGACCAATCATACGCCTGCAATTCGTTAGTGCTGGGTTCTTGCTGTGACAGGTGTAATGGAAGCTTACTTAATATCGAAGATGGTGCGCTCGGGGTTGGCGGCGTATTGATTCTTGGCGGCGTCACCAACGAGGCGCTCCTCATCGGTGAAAGCAACGTAAGACGGGGTAATACGGTTTCCTTGGTCGTTGACAAGAATCTCGACCTTGCCATTCTGCATCACACCAACACAACTACACTCAAAGTTAGCAACCTGTCACATTGAACATGAACAATTTCCAGACTGAGGCAACATACGAGTAGGTGGTTCCCAAATCAATACCAATAACACTGCCGTAGCTCTCAGGGGAGTTCTCCTCCTGGGCGTTGGCGGTGTTTCCAAAGAAGGCCAAAGGCGCAACGAGCACAAAGAGAAGATAGAAGATGGTGGTCCAAGCGAAAGGCTTAGACGCGCCATCGCGTGCGGATAGGCGAGCCATTGTGAGAGGTGTATGTATAGGTATGTGGATCGAGATTTTTCAACACAAAGACAAAGAAGCTGTTGCTATGAAAGCTCCGCGCGTGCCGCTCTAAACAGCTGCGCAGACGAGTAAACACAAGGCGTGTTTGACTCTATGAACCCTTATGTTAGTCGATGGTATGTGGGAAAGGGACCCAGGGCGAAGTGAGGGAATGGTAGAATGGTTAGGAGAAGAATCGAAGAAAGAGGACTTCTTGTACGCGGATACGGCCCAGCGGCCATGCTGGCCTTTTCCCAGTTCAGGTCACTTCTCGTGCTCTGATTGGCTGGCTGGCGTCCGGCAGTGGCTGACTCAGAAACTGCCACATAAACACACCGCCTTCTTTAATAGGCCCTGAACTGCCTAAAATAGTCTAGTGGCAGGGGTCTATCCACGAACTGCTCAGGGTTTCCACCAATCAACGACTGCCAGATGATCGAACTTGCTAGAAGGGGCCAAAGGTTTGCCCCTTCGGGAGTTCTAGTCACTGCTACTGACCACGTGTTACTTTATGGTTCTATGCTACATTACAACGGCCTAATTGTGTGTCGATCAATTGATGATAACAAGTGGCATCTCAATGGAGAGACCAGGTGAGGTATGTCGTATCCCCGTACTGCGGGCCTAGATTTGGGCCGGGGATCTCCCGAGTAGGTGGGCGTGGCACAAAGCACCCACCATGCCCTGGGTATAGAGCTTTCCGAGTCTAACTCTAATGGCACTACCAGTGATACACAATCGAATAATTACTCAATGATTGAGCTTAAATCTTTCTATAGTAGTATCCGAAATCGTATTCAAGACATAATCACCAGCTGGCGAGCTCTAGATCGAATATTATTCTGTGATATATATATTTTTTCAGTGTCTTACTCTAGATGAACAATAATGTGCCACCGACGACGAGAAATTGTGGCATATCACGAATAAGATGGATTTCGATTAACTCAACTTATTCCAATAAACCAGCAGCCACTGTTGAGCCTCCCGCGCGCAGGACAATCCTGGTCGGTGCTTCTAGAGGAACAGCTTGATCCATTTCAACCACAACACGCGCCACGACACCCGGTCCCACAATCTTAGGGCGTTTCTTGATAGCTGCTCCTGACGCTTTGTCCAGAGAGGCGACCAGCTTGCTGATGCGGCCCGGTACATGTAGACGGCCACGGTGGACATCCACTTGCATGGGCATCAGGTGTTCGAAGGCCAGAACCTTGGCGGTGAAAGAAGTGATGGTAGGAATGGGAGAGGAGGGACGGCAGACAACGTCACCGGAACGGAGGTGAATAGGGTCGATATTGGCGATGTTTAAAACGACGTTTTGACCTGCCACGGCCCAGTCACTTGGTTCGCTGTCCACCTCCAAACTGCGCACTGTTGCTGTTTCACCACTAGGCATGATCAGGATATGGTCGCCCATCTGCAAACTACCGGCATCAATACGGCCAGAGATGGAAAGCGGACTTTGCACGCCACCTCGGAAGACATCACCAATCGTCATACGCAAAGGCTTTTCGAGGGCGTGTGTGTATGGCTCCGACGTTTCCAGCTCTTCGATCAATGTGCGACCTGTGTACCAGGATGCATGAGGGTCGTCAGTCCGGCGAGAAATGTTGTCTCCCAGAGACCCTGAGCACGGCACAAATGAAATGTTGCTGTCCTGGAAGCCCGCAGTTGTCAAGAACGCGGAGATCTGCTGTTCAATCTCCTCGAATCGTTCATGATCCCATTGCACGGTATCCATCTTGTTCACGGCCACCACAATCTTTTGAACGCCCATACTGCGCACCAACAGAGCGTGTTCCTTAGTCTGACCCTTCAACCCCGACTCAAAATTGCCTACACTGGAATCGATGACCAGAACAGCGAAGTCTGCCTGACTGGCACCAGCGATCATGTTCGGGACAAAGTCACGGTGACCTGGTGCATCCACAATGGTAAAGGCCGTCTTATCAGTCTCAAACTGGTTGGTGGCGATATCTATTGTCACGCCTCGTGCTCTCTCCTCAGACCCTTGGTCCATGACCCAGGCTAGCGCGAATGAGCCCTTGCCGATCTTCTCGGCCTCTCGCCGATACCTATCTAGTGTCCGTTGGTCGATAGCACCTTGATCTGCTAACAACCGTCCCATGAGAGTGCTCTTTCCGGCATCAACATGACCTATATTGGATATGATTCAGTCCAGGGCCTCACCTTGTTGCCAGTGGAGATCGACTTACCAATAACCACAAAGTTTGCGGACCGCTTGCGGGTGGACTTCTTATACTCTGATATAACATCAAGATTCTTGCTCTTGACTGTCACTTTATCCTCCACTGAAAGATCCTTCATGCCACCTGCCAGATCAGACTGGCCTTTCTTCACCGCTGCCGATTTCGATGCGGCTGATTTCGATTTCATACCTACATATTATTAGGCAAATGCCTTTAAACCTTCCTGCGGATCGCCAAACCTTTCGCTGTGTTCTGTGCATTGAGAACGACATCGTCGGGGCTGGGCGCTGCAAAGTCAAAAGGTTCAGCATGATCCTGTCCATAGATCCTCAACAGGTCTGAACTGTTGGAGTGTAAGTGGCTGGGCTCAGCTGCTGTCGGGCCCGTTGCTGCGCCAACGATAGTGCTGGCAAATGTTGAGGGTGAGGCTCGAATAGTAGGCAGTGTTTGCTGGGAAATTGGTTCCTCTTTCGCTTCAAGCACCTCCCGTTGCGTTGATTCCGAAGCCTTAGACACCGATGGCCTTCTGTTCTCGGAATCGGGCTGCTTCGGTATAGAATGCGGTGAGCTTGGGGTTGCGACATGACGGAGAGATCCAGGGCCCTCTGAAGCTTTTGGTGTCGACCTCCCGCTAGCTGCAAGTCTGTCACGAAGGGAGCGCGATGCACCCGAATGATCAAGCGAGGACGTCTTAGGTTGTTCAGGTTTAGGAGTTGACGAAGTCGAAGTCTCCGGTAGGGATGGTGTTTTCTCGGCCTCTTTCTTCTTCCGGGCTGCAGCTAGGGCGGCCAATTTGGAAAGTTTTCCACCATTTTCCGGTGCGCCTCCCAAGAGCCCCAAACGTGGAAAAAGCGGCTCAATCAGGATATCCGATTTTCGATGAGAGGGAACATTGAGCCAGGGACAATCGCGAAAGAAATCGGCAGCCGAAAAGTGTGCTGTAGAAGGAGGAGCAGGGTATGCTGGCACTGGAAGACCTGTTAGAACATTGTTCAAGCTTCTATGGTATTAGTTTCGAGTCTCTATATATCACATGGAATGTATTTGCACCAGATACATACAGTTTCATTCGCAAGGAATAGCAGCACTCCTGATCGGGACGCGCAGAATATCTTGTGCCCCAAAGCCCGAGCCCAGCGACGACACTTTAGGATAACAATTACCCCATGAACACTGCTTACCTGATTGAATCTTCGATTTCTGCAGCTTCGTAGCCTCCTTCTCTCTCTTTCCTGCATGCAGAACTTCGGTTAGCTAAATTTGACAACAAACAATCGAACCCAGAGACCCGTGATAGGTAATATGATGTGATATGCAGTATCTGCGCAAATTGAACATACCTCTCAAATAGTTGACCGATTTCTCAATATCATTGTAGTAGTGCCATAATGCGTCTTGGACTTCTCCTTTCGTGGCGGTCACTGAGGGTTGCCCGGCACCGAGCTGTTGCAAAACAGCGGCTGTACACTGTTGCAAGAACTCCTGTTCCTCTGGGTCAGCGGGTGCATCCTCGTCATAGAAATCGTCATCGTCGTAATCGATATCCTTAATACGGTGTCGCGACATTGCGGCGTAAGGAGGTGGGGTAATAAATGAGGGGTTTGTAAGTGACGAAGATGGTCAATTGAGTTGAGTTGACCGCCTTCCGCACGGTTGCTGGGTTTATTGGGTTTATATAGCACTACTATACCGCCTTCTTATACGGGCATACCATCCGTTGTTTTCCAACTCCCGACTTGGTAGGAAATCAAACTGCCGGCAGAACATGGGCTACGTCATGTCATCATCCATGGATCCATGCCTTCAATTGGCTCTCATTTCTAATCTGAAGACAACATAGCCTTGACATATACATTGTAACATTAATGTCGAATGCTTCAGGTCCAGCTTACTCTATCCTTGGGCTAGAATCTTTAAGTACAATACATATTCAACTGTCCAGCTTCTTATACACCCTTTCATTCGGTACTTTTCTTTAGAAATGCAATATCTGTAAGATCAATAGTGTCATCTTTTATCCGAATAGCTTCATAAAACTAAAGCATAGCAGCGGTATCATGTGGCATACCTTCATTCTATGGCTGAGGGCGGGTGTGTAGCTAGTAATTTGAAAGTGTGTATAGTAAGTCTCTTATATCCTTGTAGTCTAAAAAAGCTACATTATAGTTACCTACGTATCCATACGCTGAGTTTGTCATAGTTATCTAATTTTCGCGACACGCAGGATGCCGAAAGAAGAGTGAAAAAAAAGTAATAATGTTCATCTATCGAAGTGGACTGCCAAAAAAGTCACCCGTACCAGGCCCAGAAAAGCTCCCATTACTCGGGGTCAAGGCAATGGATCGCCGGAAAGCCTGGCGTGGGGTGGTAGGGGCACTGGGGGATCCAGTGATGGGAACGGCCGATGTTGTGGTGACTGGCACCACGGACCGTGTGTCAGGAGTGCTAGGAGTGTTGCGACCGCTGTCATTCTGCATGGTGACAGCGGTGCCAGGTCGAGAGAGAACGGCGACAGTGCCTCCATTCTTAGGAGGTGGGCGGAATCCTAGCTTCGAGCCTTCGCGGAAGATCTCTTCAAGCATTTGCGAGACAATACCTGCATCCTCGTATTCCTGGAATTTTTTCCAGAGACGTAAAGCCATGCGAGCATCCTCGATCGAATCATGACCTTGTACGGTTTCGGGTGAGGGTTCCTCTTGTATATGCTCCTTGAAGACAGCCCAGGCCAGGTACCTGAGACTGAGACGCCGGTTCTTCCCGGGGTGGAAGAAGAGGTACTGTGTGTCCACGGTTTGTGCCTTGGGCACTTGAATGTTGATTTTGCGGAAATCAGAAGCTAGACCGTGACCAACAAATATACAGCCGAGGTTGAGAAGCAGCCAAAGCTTCTTGTAAGCAACCTTGAGTGGGACAAGATTGTGTTCACTGGTTCGCGGATCCAAGTCACCAGGCTTGATGCCGGAATATTGGGTCACATAGTCCACAATTGGCTCACGGATGGTAATATAGTCATCAATGAAGGGGACTCCTTCATGAACACCCACACCGCGCAAGACGGAAACACGGGCCAGCCCGCTCTTGTTGGGGCGTACCATTTCCTGTGATCCGTCTGCTTTGACGTCAATCTCGGCTTTTTCTAGATCAACAAACTCGGTATCCAATGCGACAGGTGTCCCGGGCTTTGGCATTTCGTCCTCAGTGAGAGTTTGACACGATTCAACCGGACGGCCGCCACTAGAACAAGACGACTGTTAGTATTTCTATTTTCAAGCTTATTAATGTGCAAAAACTTACTTCAAAGACCACTCGCGGAATAGCAGCGTTTTGTCGAGAAGGTTCTTCCAAGAGTCATCTACGACATGGCGTGGGTCTCTCACTTGGTAAGCCAGCACGCAAGGTTGTTTCCAAGGCTGCGTAAATCGGAGCGCTTCATCTCTCTCGACCTCCGTGACTAAAAAGTCATTGAACAGGTGCCATTTGCCTTGTTCTTCAGACTCAGCACCCGAAATGGAAACATTGACGAAAGACACCAAATGGGCCTTTTGATGTTCCGGGATGTCAATTTCTGCAACTAAGCCAATCAGATCATATACTGCGAGCCCGGGTGTTTGATTTTGGATTCGGAGGCGAAGATCATCACCCTCAAAGCACATCACCTGTCCACTAGCATCAACGAGAATTCCAACGGCGTCGGGCAACCACCCTGGGATTGCCCAAAGCCGACGGCAGAGAGGGTTGGTCAGAGCGGCATTGAGGACGAGAATCAAAGGCATACGGTGGATGGTCTTGCAAATGGTCACTTGCTGGTAGCGACGACAATAATTGCACCATCCTCGGTTTTGTGTCTCTCGCTCGATACTTGCACGTAGGATATTGGAGAAGCGGAAAAGCGGATTCCGTCGTGCGTGTTTCATGTCGATATTCGGGTAAATCAGTTCATTGGCGAGTGAATTTCCAGGGCGCACAATTTCGTTCTGGCAGAACATGCATCGAATAGACTCGGACGCAATGGTGGCTAAGCGCTGATCGAGCTCCTCAGAATTAGGCTGAATCATCCGGAAGTCTTGAGCTATTTGAGTCAAGAAAAAGCGATTGACAGCTTGGATCGCAGTTGAGAGAGATTTGTTGGTAAGGTTCTCTTCCAAGAGGCCCAGATTTGAGGCTTCTCGGAAACTGCTGAATGTCTTGAGAAGGTTGGTAGCCTGACAATTCTGCCCGCTTGCCTTCTCAAGCATGTCGAACAAATAGCCCAGTTCACACAAGAGACAGTGTTCAAAAATGCACGATCCAGCTGCATGATTCAAAGCGAGATTTCGAAAAAGTGGGATGAATTTGAAAAGCTGGAGAAGAGAATTAGTAAAAGAGTTGGCGATGTGAGTCTCAAGTCCGGAGAATGAGGTTTTGTTGTAGAACCTGTAGCAAAGGTGAGCGAAGGGCAGCAAATGAATAAGGGAAGGACATACCTGAAATCAAAGTCATCGACACCGAATCGGCTGTATTTGATCTCTACGTTGCTGTATTTGAGTAATGGATCGTCATCGCTCTCTCCGTTGATCTTCGCCCCTGCTAATGCCTCTGCAGTATCGCTAACCAAGCCATCCGACTTGCTATAATCTCGAGCCTTCTCACTCAGAAACTTTGGGGCAATAAGAGCTGGCTCTGCCATGGTCAATGCACGAGTGTTTTCTATTTGGTATCGACGAGTCTTTCTCGGGTTTGGAGCATGATGTCCCATCTCTGCGGGGCGTAAATATGGCAACATGGACTGATCCAGCGGAGCCGCCGGACTGCCAACCTCAAAAAGCAAATGGCTTGGCCACGCCGAAAAGAGACGTTCGTGGTAATAAGGCATCCCAACTATGTTCAACGGAGATTCGGAAGACCACTCTACTTGAGGAGGCCGGGTGGGAACCTCGGCAAATTCCGTCTCCTTGCTCAATTCATTGAAATGAACCTTAGTCGGTGAGCCCCATAGGTGAATGGAGCATTCGGCATCGTTAATAGCCAATGCTTCTCCTGATGGTGACAGGTCAATACCGAGCACAAGTGACACATTGGCTTGTCTCAAGTTGACCGAATTGGGATTCATGAGATCTATCACTTGGAGTTGACCTGTTTGGGAAGCCACGAAGCTCGTGGTGTGAAGTTTGGGATGCATGCGTACGTATGCTGCTCCAGCATGGAACGGAATGGGAGGCAGCGGTGTCAAGGTTTTCAAGTCATAAACGTTGGCCAGAGGATCCACGATTGGGGACCCGAGATGGCGGACCGAGAAGCCACAGGTGACCAGAAGGTCATTCCGCGCATCCATGTCATTAACACCTGTTCCATGAGCTTTCCATGACTTGACAACGCTGAAGTCTGAGAGACTGAGAGCATTGACTGATCCGGTATCTGTTGCAGCACAAAGATATCGACTCTTTTTCATTATTGTGTAGCCGTGCTCGGTGGGCAGCTTCTCGACAATTGTGCCCTTGTCAATGTCTACCGTGAACATCACGCGCTGAGAACCTGCAACAAGGATTCGATTGGTCTGGGCGGTGAAACTCATACAGCGGAGGTCGACCATCTCATCGTGGGTAAGGTGCCACTGCGTCAAGCCCCGTCGAGTAATCATGTGCACACTCTTTGAGGACAACGAAATCACACCTCGTTCGTGAAATATTATCTGCTGTACTGCACCTTCAGAAACTGGATGGGCTCGAACAGAGGTATAACGTTGCAATTCTGGTCCATAAAAGGAAGAGACCCTGCCCTAGCGAATCGAACACAATCATCAGCATCTCGCCTCGGAAATCGACCCGACATCAACACTCACATATTCATTGCCTGTCCATAAAAGTTCCATCATATCGTCAAATGCCGTCGCTGTTGCCACAGTGGGCATGGCATGGGGACTCGGCGGCGGCATTGGAATACGCGACAGCTCATCCCAGTCGGCCTCCATGCTTACGGTTTCCTCTGCGGTCCAACCCCAGTACCGTAATTATATTGTGTGTTCGGTCTTGTTACTCTCGGTATGCCGGTCTGATGGGCCTGGTGTAAACTGCTGTCTTTACCCACGTGGGAACACGGCGAGTGTGGGCATCGTTCGGCGCGAGGGACGCGATTGCGGGGAAGCTATCAGACGATTCGGCGGTGGGGTTTTGACACGGTGAGAGGTTTAGAGTTAAAAGGGCATTACACTCGACAATTGAGGATCGGCTCGAAATGCCTGACACGATGAACAAGGAACAATCGGACTCCAACTGCTGTGTATGTTGCCGGCGAGGAACAGGAACGGTGAGATTGGTTTAATCACGTGATGGCCGACAAGATTACAAGTCAACACGAGAGCGAAGATCAGCTAGTTAGAGCAATGATTACATGCGAAGAAGTAGTTTTTTTATTTCTTCCAAGAACAGAAGCATGGGAATAGAGCCATCAGTTAGCTCTCATTGGAAGAGAAGTGGGTTATATGTATCGAATCCTGAAGCAAACAACTGGCCCAAAATCACCAACAAAGAACCACATCCAGTATCGTATAACACAAGGGGGGTTTCTTGAATTAGAATGTCACGAAGGGA